AGGGGTTCAGGCTGATTCTCTGAAGGTGGTAAATGGTTCTCATTGCTGACAGTAGATAGGTTAGCCTTAGTAATGAGAAAGTCTGTATTATTGGTACTGAGTCAATTTTCTCATGAACCCAATGAACAAGCTTTAAAGTGGCTAAGTCTGATACCCACAGACAAGGCCATACTTCCTGTCAGTCTTTTAAGAGATTCTTCTAATGATCATTCATCTGGGATACACATACCTAACTGTATGCTCTGAAACTACCTGGGAAGTCGACTCACATTTGTCTACCTCAAAGTCACAGCCACTAAGCCTTTAGTTTTGCTCCTTCCAAGTCTCTAATCAATGGACTAAGTCGTTCAGAAATCCACGTGTCTTTCTTTCAAGGTCTCTGCACAGACTTTCCTTTTCTATACAGTTAGGCCATCTCTAAGGAAGATTGGAACACCCTGAAAATATACTTCTCATTGGAACCATCATATCACATAGAGACATCTGTAAATTGGACTTTAAGATTTTTCTTCCTCAGTTAACTCATCATAAACAACACTTGAAGAGGCTAGGAATACAGATTAAGGCAAGAGTGGCAGTAGACGGATGCAAGCAACTCACTCAGGCAAATTATTTGTACTGTACTTCAGGACTTCCTTGGATCTGGGCCATTTATATCACTTCCTCTTGATGATAGAGTGCCACTCCCACGCACTCTGGCTACACTGACATTATGGCTGAGTAAATAAGATAACACCAAGTTTAGGTTACCTGGTATACCGTGGTCAGGCATCTAATTTCACCAGATTCCTGCAGCAAATAAGGAACTGCTTCTCAAAAAAAAAACAACTATTTGCTGAAGTAGGGTACTATATAATTCCAAAATTCAGTGCTTGAGTATGAAGGTCAAAGCTAGAACAATTTACTCTGTAGCCTAGTCCCATAAGAAAACTTTTTCTCCTTGAATGTTCCCCCAACTTAATTTGGCAGGTTTCACGTGACTCAGTTACTGGTCAAAATAATGTAGCTAAAGTTCAATTTACAGATACCCACCAGTAGCCAGGTGTAGTGGCAAACCCTTATAATCCCAGCCCTCTGGGAGGCTACGATTGGAGGATCAAAAGTTCGAGCTCAACCTGGACAACTTAGTAACCCTGGCTTAAAATAAATTTTGTAAAAGGTCCAGGAATGTAGCTTAAGACTCTGAGTTCAATTCCCAGTACTGCAAAGAAGAGAAAGAGGAAGAAATCTCCACGCACTAAGTGTTGTATTCCTTTCTTAGTGGCAAGGAATGTGGTAAATACGGCAGCTTGTTTTTCACTTTGTAAGGAATATCTTAACATATCTACTATGGTTTGAATTTGCCCCCCAGAGGTTTGTATATTGGAAGCTTGGTTCCCACTGTGACTATGTTAAGATTTGATGGAACCTCAGAGAGATGGGGCCTAATGGGAGGTTAAAAGACTGGACTCTCCCAATGCTCTGGCTTCTTGTCTTGTCATGTGATCTCTATATCTTGCTTATACTCTCACTACTGTGATACCACTCACTGTGAAGGAAAGAACACTAGAACTACGTTGGTGCTGGTATTATGGCTTTTAACCTCAAGAATGTGAGCTAAATTAACTTCTTTCTAAGTTACCTTACCTAGGACATTTTATTATAGCACTAGAAAATGGACTAATACATCCAAAGTCCCAGGTTGTATATTGGCTATACAGGACCTTGTATATTTGTGGGACTTATTTTCCATCCTCTGGTACACATATCATGCCTTATCAAATCATCTAGGGTATCTGTTACTTCCTGCTCTCAGATCCATCAGGGTGATGTCATCAAGGCTAATTGGTCTGATATCCATTGGAATGGTGATTTACTCAAAAATCCTACAAACCAAGTGTGTCTGGAGAATGACATATTCCAGAAGTTAGTAAAGGTTTATTGCTCCTCTTGCTACATGAATACAAATGATTGCCAATGTTTGGAACAGTAGCTCCCCTTCAGCAATGCCGCTTCCCACAGAGTGAGTTACCTGAGGTCAATTGTGGCCCAGAAATATTAAATAGAAAACTCCAGAACTAAAAAATGAAGTTTTAAATTATAAGCAGCTGAATAGTATGATGAAATTTCACACAATCCTTCTCTGTTTTGCCCAGGATGTGAATCACCTCTTTCTCTATACACTACCTGTTAGTCACTTAGTACCTGTCTTGGTTATCAGGTTGCAGCATATGCGCTGCCGAAATGAGCACTTTGTTATCAGATTGACTGTCATGCTATCACAGTGCTTATATTCAAGTACTTCTTATCTTACTTAATAATAGTCCTAAAGCACAGGTATAGTGATTCTGACAATTTTATTGACATATATTGTGAAAACTATACTATTGCTAGTTATTGTTGCTCTCTTATTGCACCTACTTTACAAATTAAATTTTATCATACATATGTATGTATAGGAAAAACATATACACATACACATGCATATACATATAGAACCTTGGTTTCAGGCATCCATTGGAGGTTTGGAGTACATTTCCTGAGGATAGAAAGGACTGCTGTATAGAAGAGTAAGTACTTACTCTACTTGTGATTGACTGTTAGGCATCAATAACTGCCAAATGCTCCAAGAAGTGCCTGAAACTGGAGTCCTTACCAGGGCAAGTTTAGAGTTTATCATGACAGTATTTTATTTTATTTATTTTATTTTATTGCTGAGGATTGAACCCAGGGCTTTCTGCATGCTAGACAAGAGCCTCATCACAAGAGCCAGCTATATACTATGCAGTTCAGACTGGCCTTGTGCTATTGCTTATATCTAAATGTCCCTCTAAAACTTCACGCTCTCACAGGTGGGGTTTTGGGTGCTGGCTGAATCTAGTGTGTGTGATACTAAGATTAAGGTTGTGTGGTATTAAATTAGACCACTGAACGGAATCAGCTTAGTTCTGGGTGTGGCTGAATGGATTTACTGAAAACAGAAGCCACACCTTGGATGTGGGTGGCGTCACTCAAAAGCCCAGATAGAATAGAAAGGAAAGGCAAAATGGGTGTAATCCCAGCGCTCAGGGGCTGAGGCAAGAGGATTGTTGTGATTTCAAGACCAGCCTGGGCTACAAAGTGAGCTCAAGGCCAGCCTGAACTGCATAGCGAGACCCTGTCTCAAAAAGAAAAGAAAAGAAAAGAAAAGAAAAGAAAAGAAAAGAAAAGAAAAGAAAAGAAAAGAAAAGAAAACCAGGCTTGTTGCTTGCTGCTTGGCGGCTGCTGCTTTCTGCCTGCCCCAGCATGGACTGCTGTTTCTCCTGTGCCACACTGTTCCGCCTTGGAACTCACTGAAATGGACTGAAACTGCCATGAACTCTGAATTAACCATTCCTCTTTTAACTTACAGGGATCAGAATCTTGTGTCTCAGAAAAAAGAAGGTAACTAAGACACTCTGTCTGGCTCTGTCATTCTTTTGATTTGGTACCAAGAATGAAACTCAGGGCGTTTGTCATTCAAGCACTTCTGATGCTGAGTATATCCTCCACTCTATCATTCTTTAAGGCCATCTCTCTTCTACTTTGACCAGAGTGAAGAAGTAATAGTGCTATCAAAGAAATCTTTGATAGTGGCATTAATCCTTGTGATGAGATGAAATAGTATTTTTATTTCTATTCCTAGTAACTAAGGAACCAAGACATTTCATATAGTTCTTTAGGAAGCCAATGTCAGGATTATGACTTTGTTGGTAATATCTGTAGTAACGCTACATATAATCACAGTAAAGTTTCAGAGTATCACTGACTCAGGTATGAGACATACAGCACTCAAAAAATTTTTTGTATCATGTACATATATTAATATATCCACAAAATAAGGAGAGAGGAAAATCCCACTTTAACAATTAAATATTCAAATACTAAGAGTTTTAAGTGTTCCTTTGTATATCCCTCAGAATCTTGTCCTACACATACTACTTTTTTGAAAACACTGACCTAGGGTGTGCCCCAGTCATCTATCACACAAGTTGCAACTATGTATTTTAAAGGGGGGCAGGGCATGGGCCATAGTTGCTCTGGGAGGGTTCCGACACCTGAAGCTATGTGATTGGCCCTAAACTTGCTCTGGCAACACCCTTCTGAAGGTGTGAAACTCCCCACCTCCCTCATCAGGCTCAGGTAAAGGAGCTGGGTGTGAGTTCAGATATCTCAAGCACAGAAGGCTGGTCTCTCACTGAACCACAGGTTACAAACAACTACCTGCCAGTGGTGGTGAACCTGTGGCATGTGTGCCACAGTGGCTGTTTGTTATTATGGAAAGTGCTGAAAGGTTCGCCATCCCCAACCTAGATGATCTCGGTCGTAGGCCTTATAAAGCCTCAATGTTTCTTTTTTGAAAAATAGCAATGATCTGTATCTGCCTTCAGGTACAGTGGGAGGAGTCAGGCCAGGAGATGAAAGTACCATAGCAGAAATTGATTCATTCGGCCATTTTATACACAACTACTAAGACCCTAGACCCGCGCAGCTTTTCTGCACTAGGTCACATCCCTTAGGACCCGTGAGAGCCTGTAAGAGGGCGTCTCCCCACTCCGCTTTTCTTTTATAGAACGCAGGGCTGTAACCTTATTAAAAATGGCGCAGACGGCTTCAGGAGCTAGTGCGGCGGCGCGGCCTCTGCGTGCCCTCTGACCTGCTGGCAGTGGGCGGAGGGGGAGTCGGGCGCCGCCATATTGGCTGTTGTCCTGTGTGGGGAGCGGCGGCAGTGGCGGCGCGAGTGGAGCGAGGGAGCGGCGCGAGTGGCAGCATGACTCGGAGGCGGAGCAGGCCGAGCGGCGGCGCGGGCCGGCGCGAACGGGCACGGGCTGCGGGGCTGCAGAAGCCCCAGGCGCCCGAGCCCCCGCCGCCGCCAACCTTGGAAGCGGGACCGGGTGCAGGGCCCCAGGAGGCTCCGGCGGAGTCCGATCGCGACGGCCCCAAAGAAGAGGATGAACCCAAGCTGGTGCCTGGCCCGCAGGTAGGAGCGAGCGAGGCGACCTGCTGGTCGGGCGCCTTCATCTACTCTGAACTGGCGCGGGGCGGGGTTGGGCATGGACCATCCCGCGGGTCTGGGGCTGCAGCCTTCTTCCCATTCCGAGGCCAGGATTTCTCCCCACGAAGTGGGAGTAGAGGCTGGACCCCTCTCTCGGCCGGTCCTCCTGTGACCAGGCTGAAGCTGCCCCTTTTCCTCCAAACCTTGCCCAAGCTAAAGGTTCTGGCTGTTACACCCACACTGAGACTGGGCTCTGGGCCTGTGGCCGCAGCTCAGCTCTCTGTCCTCCGCCTCCCTTGGGGCCCACCTGGCCCCTCTCCCCAAAGCCACTTCCTTGGGCACTAGAACCTGCAAGACTGCAGCCTCTTGCCTCTCCCACTGGGAGCGGCTTCCCTTCTCCTGCACTTCTTATGGCAGCTGTGCCCCCAAATCTGTGTCCTGGGCCCTCCAATTGGAGCAGATAATCAGGCTGCCAGGAAGGTTGGTGGGGTTTCTGCACTAAGGTGGAAACCCAGCAAAATTTGCCCTGCCTCTGCCCTGTACCTCTGTCCCACAAGGCGGTTCCCCCGTTCCCCCCTTAGATCCCAGGTTTGGCGAATCCTGCTGAGAGTGAGCAGTAGGAGGATTTTCGAAAGCTTCCAGCTTGCCACCTGGAAGACGGTCACTTAATTTTGAGCAAAGGAGATAATAGGAGGTACCTTGGCAGTGTTCACTGAGAAGTGGGGGTGGCATGGGCCACAGTTGTTCTGGGAGGGTTCTGGCACCCGGGGCTGGGTGGCTCACCCTAAGCTTGCTCTGACAATAGAGTTTTGAGTTGGTCTTTTGGCTGGGCCTGCCAAGGAAGGCAGGCCCCTGCAGGAGTCTTGGAGGGTCGGATGCAGCGCCGGATGAGGATGAGGCGTGGCGGAAGATGCGTTTGGCTCTGCAGACACTGCATCGGGCAGCAGGGGACTCTGGGAGGCTGGTGCAGCCAGAAGGCATGGCTCTTGACAGCCTTCTAGTAGAATCTCTGGAATTGTGCATGTGAGTGGGGATGCCATTTGGGGTACCATTTCCAGAAAGCGTTCCTTGACCTTCCCAGTTGCGTCAGGTGTCCCCCCTGTGCCCACAGCCCTCTGTGCTCCCCTCTGGTAGCACTCCCCATTCTGTCATAAAATGTTGTGTTGATGTGTCTGTTCCCCCGCACTGGCCCGTGATCTCCACAGGGACCCAGCCTGTGTCATCTATCTGATCCTCCAAACCTTGCCTAGGACCTTGCCAACCCAGAGTAGAAATAAATACCTTAGTGAATGAAAGAGAAAATTAATCAACTCAGAACCTGTGCTTATTGTAACCCAGTTTTGATGCTGGTTTCCTTTGTGTCTCACATGACAAAGAGAAATTTTTTAATTAATAAAAAAGTCATCACTATCCTCACTACCACTCCTGCTCTGTGTTGGCATTGGCTCCGGAGGAAATTCTCCAGGCTGGACCCCATCCCTGCTGGGTCTGGCTTCCGTGCCTGAGGCTACTTGTCTCTTTAACCTATTCTGGCCCCCTGGCAGTGCTGTTATGTAAACCTGGGAGGGTGGGAAAAGGGAGAGCCAGGCAGCTGTCACCCTCTCCCTACAATTCAGGTCATATAATACTTTAGGGTTCCTGTCACATAGAGGTGCCAAAAAGCTTGGATGATGACTTTGTTTTTATTGATACAACTTTCCCAAGAGCTATAAGCTTCTTTTAACTCCTCTGATACCTAGGTTCATACTCCACTTAGCTGTTCCACAGCTTGTTCATACTTTTAGTAATGCCAGACACATGACATACCTTCTAATCTTCTCTTTCCCCTTCTATTCCATCTCAGCTTTTAGCAGAAATATAATGCATTAACTACTGATCTGATTATTTACATTTATATATAAATCCTGAGAGTACAAGAAACATGTCAGTCACTATCATACTCCTGATGATTAATAATGTTAATGAACAAAGGATACAAATATTATGCTGTTTTTCAGGTAGAGAAACAGAAATCCATAGAAACGAAATATTTGCAAAAGTGACTTCTTGCTATCAGGCCAAAAAAAAAAAATCACCCTTTCATATTTTGGGGAATGAGGGGGATATGGACAGGGTCTTGCCAAATAGTTGAGTGCCTTGATTAGGCTCACATTTATCCTCCTCGCTCGGCCTCCTGGGTACTGGGGCTCCAGGCATGTGCCGCCACGCCTGGTACTTTGGGGGAATTTTAACAGCCACATAGATGAAATGCACTGACAGAGTATTCTGATTGTGCCCACTGTTTTGCTTAGGTGGGGGATGGAGTCTGGATTCAAGAAGCAGGCTTTTGTGTCTTGGTGAAATTTACCTGGTGCAAGAGTAGTGTTAGTCATTACTCTGCCCACAGGCATGCCCATGTGAGGATCTCTTACCCCTATTCTTACTCACCCCCATTTTATAGGAACAGAGTAGGTAAGGAAAATGGAACTCAACATCACATGTAGGCCAGAATCCAAAGGCAGCAAAAAAAGACTGCTTCAGGCTGAATGTGGTAATGTACACTCTTCAGCCTGGTACTCAGAAGGCTGAGGCAAGAAGATCTTTAGTTCAAGGCCAGCCTGAACTACATAGCAAGACCTTGTTTGTAGAGAGGGGAAAAAAGGCTACTTCCATCCATTCCACAGACTTGTTCCTCGGTCCCAATTTACATAATTTACATGTTTTGTTTCTGCTTTTATCACAGTGTGAACCTGCATTTTAAAAATCAAATGGTTTCTCACAAATCTGGTTTTTGCCTCTTTAATCTAAAGACCTAATGATACCAGGTTCATTTATTCACAAAGTACTAATCCTGAGTAATTTATAATAACTGCCCCATTTTTTAGGTACTGTGTGCTCTTTAGGCCTCTCTGGTTCTCATGGACTCCTTCACTCATTTGCCTAACTTATGCACATTTTAATGCAGGACCTTAAAGAAGGAAAAAACACGCACACAAAAACCTTAAAAGCAGTTGGAAGGAGGCAGTGGGGAATTGTGGAATAGTGTTTACTGATGAGTTGGACTCCCAGCTCTGCCTCATGCTTTGTGACACTGAGTCCCTTTTTTCCCCTTTGGACCTCATCAAGAGGCTGTGAAGCAACTTTCCCCACACATGGTACATAGAGGCTTCTCCAAATGGCAGGAGCTGATCAGGTGACCAGACAAAGCCTGAGTGTCCTTACCTGCTAGCCCTGCTCGCTGTCTTTGAGTTCTCTTGGACAACTCAGTTGGTAATTCAGGTGCATATGCAACTGCCAGGAGACTTGCTAGAATGTAAACCAGCAGTTGGGGGTGGGAGAGATGAGCTCATCCTACCCTTCCCCTCCTCTACCTCTGATCTTTCTATAGTGCCCTTTGGGACTCTGCACAGTTTAAAAGAACTCAAGAGATCCATTTTTCCCAGTGCTCAGAGTAAACCTGCTCCCTTGAGAAACTGGAGCAAATAATCAGTCCATATCTTTATTAAAACCGTCTCGTCATTATTATGTTAATACCCAGCAAGTTTCAAAGTAACCTGCTTTTATTTAGGGTCCACAGAAGGATGAGACAGTTCCTATCCTCAGAGACCTCTCACTTAGAATCCCTACCCACATCACTTCCATAACCAGTAGGAGGAAGTGACACTAAGGGAGTAGCCTTGCCACCTATTGTTCTTGTTTGTGAGCCAGTAGAGACTTGCGGTATAAAAATGACAACAACCTTTGAAGATAAAGACTTACCCACTCTAGAGTTTTAGATTTTTAATTTTTTAAAATGTCCCAGAGCTATAAGCTTAATGTCTTAATATCAGGTGGATGATTAAGATCATAATGCCTTTGCTTATTGCACCTAGAATTTTGAGAGTAAGTACTATTTAAATTCTCCTTATATTGTGCGTGGTCTTTACATACTTAATACATGACTGTAAACTAAATTATAATTTAAATTTTAAAAGTTAGGTTTCAACTAGATATGATGGTGCATACCTGAAATCCCAGCACTTGGGAGGTTAAGGCAGGAGACTCAGTTGAGCCCAAGAATTGGAGGCCAGGAAGGGCAACATATTGAGGCTGTCTTAAAAAAAAAAAAAAAGATTTCTGACACTTTGATTCTTACCTGCCCTACCCTTTTGCTGAGGAAAGGCTGGCATCACTCATTCATTTAGGTTAGCCATAACACACTTGCCTGGCATTCTGCAAACACTAACCAACCCCTGTTCTATGCCAGATCCTGATCAAACTCTAAAGACAGAAGTAAATGTGACATGGTTCCTGCCTACATGGAGCTCATGGGCTAGAGAATGTGTATAATAACTGAAGTAATGCTAGTAGAAACTATAATGTGGCTATCTGTGAGTAAAAGTTCAAATCCTAGGGCCAGGGATTTAGCTCAGTGGCGTAGGTACCTGCCTGGCAAGGGCAAGGTCATGAATTCAATCCTTAGTACCAAAAAAAAAGTTCAAATCCTCCATCCTAGTAAGTGGCATTCAAAGTGTTTCATCCTCTTGATTTTTTTGTGTATAAAATGACAGCTCACTTGGTTAATGCTAGGACCCAGCAAGTACTGCCTGTTAAGTACTTAGCACAAGCTATAGCTCTGATTATTATAGGTGATTGGTGGTGAGGATGCCCAAGACATGACACCCTGAGGAAGTTAAGTCAAAGAAGGCTCCCGGAATCTAGTCTTCCAGGTTGAGTAGAAGTTCTCCAAAAGCAAGATGGAAGAAAGATGTCTCAAGAAAGAAAGCAATGTATAAAGAACCATAGGTGAGCACTGCCCCACTAATTTTTAGAGAGGAAGGCTCAGGATGCAGAAGTTATCAGGGCTCTTATTTCACCACACCAAGTAGACGAGGTAGTAAGGAATCAATGAAGGATTTTCAGCAGAAAGGTGAACATGCTATGCCTCAGTAAATTCTCTCTGATAGCATGTGAAGAAATAATTTGCAGTGGGAGAGGCAGTTGCTATTGCTTGTTTCCACTGTTCCCTTGAACTAGCCTAAGTAATCATCAGATTACCTGTACTTTTCTGGACCCTATCCCAGACCTATAGAACCTGTGTCCAGGCCAGAGCCCAGGAATTCATTGTTGGGTTGCACCATGTGGCTCTGAGTGTGGCTGGGCTTGAGAACTACTGAACTGAAGGGGGGCCTAGGGTTTTGTTCAAAGAATGGGGGTGCCTAAGGGAAGTCTTTTCCATAAGCAGGAATAGAATTTATGACATCCAGTTTCCTGTCAGAATGCTTACCCATGCCTACCATATGCTGTGGCCTCTGCTGAAGGATGGGAATACAGTCAGTCATTCTTGGGGCACAGTCTCTGCCCTTGAAAAGTTCATAGCATTGTGAAGACAGATTTCAATAAAATATATATAATCATGTCTATTCTAGAGAGATGTAAAAAAAAAAAAGTGTTAGAGCATCCCAGGACAAAGCCCAATTTATTCTGCCTGTGGACCTAGGAAGATGTAACACCCAAAGTGAGCCTCTCAAGAAGAGAGGGAAGAGGCAGAGGGAACAGCAGCCATGAAGGTGTGATTGCATTATGTGTTTGGGGAAAGGAATGTTTTAATGACTTTTTTTTGTGGCAGGATGTGCAGAAGCAGAAAAGGACTGAGGAGAGGCATTCTTGTGTCCTGGAAAGGGTCTGTGTTTGTGCCATTCAGTTCTGTACCCATACCGCCACCTTTACCCTTCAAACCCTGGGTGGTTTCTGCTGAATAGCTAGATGGTCATGCATCCTGGACCAGAACATGGTACAATCCCATAAACCATCTCCCCTCTATCCCCTCCCGAGACTCTTGAGTCCTTGTGATTTCCTCCATTCTGAAATGAGTAGACCTCCACTTCAAAGAGTAATGTGGCAAAACTAAGGCAGAAACCAGGGGCCAGAGGGGTTGCCTATACTGGAGGTTCTTATTAGGAAATTAGGGTTATGTTAAATAACATGGACTCGGGTTCAAAGAGACCTCAAAGGTCACTTCTCTTGTCCTCTGTCCTGTGCTTCAAGTAATAAATTTGGTTTGGGCAAGTCTCACTTAGTAAGTTTCCCTGTCATTTCTTCCAGGGCAGAAGAGGAAAGAAACTAACGGGTATTGAGCACCTACTGTGTGCCAGGCCCAGGCCAGGTACTTTACATAATTTATTTCCTTCTGTCCTCACAACTCTGTGAAGTATCGTGTTCTTCCCACTTCGTTAATTGAAGAACCTGAGGCTCAAAGAAATTAAGTGATACTCCACGAGCGTACTGAAAATGGCAGAACTGTGATTGAACTCACAACTGTGTCTCCAAAATTCATGTTCTTTCCCCCATGAAAAACCTGTGCTGGGATTAGAGTAGAGAGTTGCAGTTGGCCCAAGGATCCAGGTAAATTAGCAGCTTGGGCCTTTCAATGGCTACTTGTACCCTGAAGGCAGGTTTAATGGATGAGTTACCTCATTGGGGTGGACAGTCAGGGTCAGACTGTCTCACTGCTCAGTGCTCAACTCATTTTGTACAGTCAGAGAAGATTCTCTACCAGCAGGCTATTCTGCCTCCTATGAGGGGCACAGCCTATGTGTAGGAGTGTGGGTAAAAGTGGGATATGTGTAGTCTGCTCCCTGAGAATTAGCCATCGCTTTAATTGTCAGTATTGGAATGGTCTGAGATTCTTAGCTCTTGATTGTCCTCTCATCAAAAAATCAGGTGATGTAGCTGTGCCATGCCTTCAGCATAGCATGCTGCGAAAGGAGTTGGTTTAGCTGTGTTTTAAATTCTGTCCTTTGTGTTGAGCAGTTAAGACATGAGCCAGAAAGGCTTTAAGCATTCATTTATTCAGTGAATGCCTGCTGCATGCCAGGCCTATGTTCGTGGGCATATGTAAATGACCAAGATTTACTCCCTAGCTCCAAAGAGCTTACATTCTATGGGGAAGGGGGGTTGGAACATACAGAAAATACATCCATTGCACAATGTGAGAGGTGTAACACTAAAAGAATTAGTTGGTCCAGCAAAAGCTTCATTGATCTTTGATAGGAATTTCGCACCTAACCCAGTGATTGTCATAAAATAGGAGCTGGGGAAACATTTTGTTGAATGAGTGGATGAATGGAAGAGTGAGAGACAATAACTGGCCTGATGAGGTTTTCTAAGCTGGAGATCAATCATTTTCTTTGAATCTTAAAGGAAGTTTTAGCTGCTATTGTTGTCTTCTGCCTGCCTTGGTGACTGGGAGGCTTTTGGAGTTTCGTGCCTTGGGAGGAAAGTATTCTCATGAGCCATTTCAGAATAGAATTTGGAACCTGTTGCAGGGCAGCAGGTTAGATACAGCATGTGTCTTGGGAAAATCCTGTGCAAACAGAACTTGAACTCTTGAGACTAAAAGGAACCAATGGGAGGAATGAGACTAGGTTGAGTGCTAGAAATGTGATCCAGTTTCAGAGCAGGCTTTTGTGTCTGCCTGCTGGCCAGAGTTATTCCCCAATACTTCCCAAATTGTGAACAGAAAATTCACAGTGGAGGAGGAAACTTGGGTCATGCCCCAAAGAGCTATCCAGATATGCTGCAAACTGTCATGGTTGCTGATAATTACTGTTCCCTAATACATACTTACTGTGTACCAGGCACCCCTAAAGGCTTTACATCAGCAGCTCTCCAAGTGTTTGATCCTGAGACCCCTTATACATTCCTAAAAATTATTCAGAGCCCCAGAGTTGTTATGTTGGTAATGACTATTGATGTTTACCAAGTATTAAAGTTGAAGAGGTTTTAAAATATTTGGTCACTACACTGAATGTCATGGTACACACCTCTAATTCCAGCACTCTGCTAAGACAAAAGGATCAAAAGTTTGAGTGCACCCTGGACAATTTTGCAATTTAGTGAGTCCCTGTCTCAAAATTTTTTTAAAAAAGGTCTGGGGAATGTAGCTCAGTGAGAAGGCCCTGTGCTGCCCCAGTGCTGCCCTTTCGCAAAATTTTTTGTTTTTTTGTTTGTTTGTTAGTCACTAATTCATTAGAGATTGTCATGGAACCAAGCAGAGTGGTACATGCTGGTAATCCTAGCTACTAGGGAGGCAAGTTTGAGGCCAGCCTGGGCAACTTAGTGAAACCCTGCCTCAAAATAAAAAGGTTGGGAATGTAGTTCAGTAGTAGGATGCTGGGGATGTAACTCATTGGTAGTGTGTGCCTTGCATGTTTGAGGCCATGGGCTCAAAATCCCCAGAATCACCTGAATAAATAAATTAATAATATTTAGCTAATTGTTAATAACAATTTTTTATTAAATAGCTATTTTCCAAAACAAATTAGAAGAATGGTCTTGTTTTCATTTTTGCAGATTTCTTTAATACCATAAAGCTAAAATACATGCCCTGTTTTCAATTGTTGTAATATGTTATTTTGGTTGAAGTATATGAAAAAAATCCTGCCTTATGCATATACTGTACATGATTGTAAGAGGGCAGAATGTTTTAGTAACCTCTCCAGATGCGTATAAATATTCTTGCCAAGATAGAATCTGAGACAGTATTGAAGTTTTTATATTCATATATATTAAAATATATTTGAATAATCAGCATATTTAAAAAATACTGTTCTATGATAAATCATAGAATGACAAAAATCAAATCCATTGTCCCTCTGGCACTTTGAGTGGATCTTTTTTACCAATGCATAATAACATTTTGCCTTGGTCATTTGGAAGATAGATTCATTGAGTTTTGCAGATATTCCAAATGTTTTCCAGTTTCATTTTATAATACCAAAAGATAACATTTTTAATGTCATCATTGCCTCAGAAAAGTCTTAGGAAGCTGTCAACACTTGTGCTTATGGGTGCATGTTTTCCCAAACTTCTGATTTTTGGTTGAAAGCTTTAACTTTATCATTGGCCTACAAATACTATCCATTGTTTTCCTTGAAGTAGTGGGTTCATTTCATTCATTGGTTTACTTTTTCAGAAAATGTCTGCCAAGACTAAATATCTGTTAGTCATTCTGTAGAGTAAATATGGTTTCAGGAAAAAAAAATTGTTTTCCCTTTGATGTTTGTCTACTTATCAAAGAACTAGATTGCACTAATTTAGTGCTTCTCAGTCCAAAGCAGAAAAGTGTTAGGCCAGGTCAAGTAAGGGAGCAAAACTACTGGTTTCAATGGCCCAAATGCCAGCCCATTGGACTCTGGAGTAACCTTGACCTGGAGTTGGGTTAGCTTCTTCACTGCTCTGGGACATGCATTCTACAACAGTGATCCTCTGTGAATAATCCCAATCTCTCCAGAAATTCTGGTTTCACTCAGTGAAGGAAACAGAATTTTCTTGGAGCCTTTTGAACAGTGCTATCAATAGAACTTAGAACTTTCCCCTTCTCTTCCATTGTCTTTTGCTTAAGGCTAGGTCCATTCCCCCACAGACTCTAGAGTTTAATGGCCCAAGGTTTACAAGAACAATTAGGTGTTGCCCAGGCCTGCTAGGTTTTAAGAATAAGCTTCATCAGCCTTTGTGATGAAGAAAAATGGTTGGATGTTTCCTTCAGTGCATTTGACTGACCATAATTTTTTGTGTGGAAATACTGTAATAGGTGATAAAAGTACAATTTAAGAAGCAAGTTGAAAGTGTAGGTTGCCTGACTGTTCCAGCAGTAAGGGGTCATGATTGCCAGAATTTGGAAAATGGCAGGAGATTGCAAAGAGAGCCCCAAACCAAGAACTTTTTTCTGCTAAAGCAACACTTTGAAAAAACAGTGGAATTAGTGACCAAATGCAACATTTCCAAGGCTTAGGAATCTCACCACTCTCTGGCAGTTAAAGCAAAGATGAAAATGTTTGGGAAAAAAGCTCCTAACTTCACAGTGCATTGTACCCAGAGGCAGGCACCAGCACTTAAAATCAAGACGTCAGCTTTGGGGGGTGGTCCTTTAGAATTGCCTACACCCAAAAGCAGAACTTTACAGAACTCTGGGAGGACAATGGATAAACTAATCTCCAGTATAGACTTACTAAGAATAAAAGAGCCAAGACAATGTAGTGAGCACCTACTGCCTGGATCCCTTGAGCTAAGTGCTTTGTATCTCTTATGTCACTTAATCTAAGGGAACTCTATGCATATCAAGTGGTATCTTTTGCTTCAGTTAGAGTTTAATTAGCTTTCTAGGTCCTGTATTTCTCCCTTTACCTGGGAAGATAGCTTATAAAGTTCTGTAAAGTGATTTCCATTGATGGTTAATTAATTTATTTCGTGCATTATTTTGGCTCAAGGGTCACGTTATTTCCATTTTATAGGATTCCATTTTATGTGATCTCTGAAGAATGCAGTCTTCCACTTTTCCACACTTTAAACTGGAACCATTTCTCTCCTGAGTGAGGAGATACGGGCCTTTCTCTGTAGGAAGTACAGTAGTAATTCTAAACACTGTCTTACCAAACTGCCTGCTGTATTGCCTTGAAGATGCCTCACTAAACCTAGCAAAAAAAATGAAGTAGAAAAGTACAGTTATGCACTTGACTTCATGAGTAATAGAGATTAAGAAGTCTAACAAGTTACTGTCTCTCCATCACATGTAAGAGATTCATAGATGCTTATAAAATACAGTGGCCATTGTTCCCATTCCTTCTATCAAGTTAATAATTAGTCCCATATGTTGAACAGAGTATTTTGTGTCTAGCACTGGCCTTTATCACATTTAATTCTTACAGCTGACCATACAAATTGGGACTTAATCCCGTTTTATAGATGAGCAAACAAAAGGTAAGTAGAATTTGGCCAGTGTCATACAGCTGGTGATAGTGACTCAGGATTAATGCCTAAGCCACTGTTATTTTCACTGCGCCCCAGAAACCTCCACAAGGACTTTGGCACTAAGTGTGATTATACTGGTTGCACACTTAAAATAATCAAATGTTTGGCAAGGAGTGGTAGCACACATCTATAATTACAAAGAGGAATCACAACTCTGAGCCTAGTCTGGGCAACTTAGCAATTCAAGACCTAGTCTCAAAATTAAAAATTAAAAAGAAGGAATGAAGAATATAGTTCAGTGAGAAGGCCCTGAATTCAATCCCCATACACAAGGAAAAATATATAAAAGATAGGTTTGCTTTTAATAGAAAATACTTGCCTTATACATTTGAAATTTTGACCATATCTGCAAAATCGTATATAGTACATTACATAAGAAATTTCAAATGTGCAAGACCTTAGATTCAGTCCCAGCATCATTGGAAAAAAAGAGAATTTCAAAAATAATTTTACTCAAACAAGATTTCCATCTTATATGACTTTAGAACCTAATACCGAGATGAAATGAAGGTAAAATTCCTGTGTAATTCCCATTCTGGCCAGGAATGGTGATGCAAGCCTATAATCCCAGCACTCGGGAAGCTGAGGCAAGAAAATCACCATGAATTCAAGTCCAACCTGGACTACATAGTGAGTTCAAAGCCAGCCTGAAATACATAGTGAGACCTCATTTCAAAAAACAAAACAAAACAAAAAATCCTGTCTTGGTTTTTACTTTAGTATTGTCTCCATTACAGGGAAAGAAACCAGTGCTTTGGCTTCCCCTTTACCTACAGTTCCTATAGCACCTTGCAACTGTAGAAAATATAGTTCTAAAAAAGACTTCTTTTGCCTTCGTTTCTTCATCAGCTTTCCACCCTTTCATGAATACCATCAATGGATTCCTTTTGCAGTTATATGAAGTCCCTCTATAAAATTTCTGTTTAGTACTCTTGGTACTACTATTTTTTAAGAAATTGGGTGGCCCAAGTCAGTGTGATTGTAATACTGCAGATTTAAGCATACCCTGATGCCAAGTCATTGTAAGAAGGCAATTTCACTTAAAGAAGATGGCAGCATCTGTCATTGGTAGGATGAGGGTAAGTTTGGAGGTAGATCAGTTACAAATTGTTGTCAAACCACCTCAGGATCCATTTATTATTTCTCCTGAGTCTACTTCCTGTCGGAGTGTTTCTGATCTGGGTTGATCTCATCTGGGCTCGATCAGTTAGCATATTAGCTGGGAAGACTCCATTTTCTCCACACATCTCACATTTTGGCAGCAACTTGCACATTTCCAGCAGCTAGCCTGATTACACCCTCAGGGCATGGCAGAGGCGCAAGAGCAAGCAAGCACAGCCATGCAAAGAAACAAGTAGAGATGTATACACCCTGTTTAAGCCCAAGCTGGCAGTCTGTCTGCTAACATCCCATTGGCTTGAGACAGTGACATGGCCACACAGCGTCAGAATGGGAGGAGATCACAGAGTTGCAGAATATAAGAAAACCATTGAACATGGTAGCTAAATGCAGTTAATCTGTTAGTTAGGCCCCTTCAGTGTGAAAGAAAACCATTAGACTTATGCTGCTGAATCAAAGTTCCCCTTTTAAAAGAAAGAAAAAGGACCAAGTGATGACTGTATTAGGCCTATGCTGTTGGCATGCATAGGGCTTGGCACTTTACCTGCTTTTACAGAGATCCTCACAACAACTCTGCAAGGTAGGTCGAAATCAGAACTCAGAGAAGTTAAATAATTTGCTCAAGGTCATTCCACTGACATGTAATCAGGCAGGAATTAGAATATATGTCCATCTGATCCTGGAAGTCCAGATTCTTTTCACTATTATTTGCCTCTAAGAGCACCAGGGTATGCTTTACCTCCCCAACCAACAAACTTTTCAACTGAGTTGATACTTTCTAATTAGTTGAACATACCTTTTTGAAACATTGGTGAAATCCTAATGGAATTATGCAGTTCTCCAGACAAACCCACATGTTCTCCCAAACTCTCTATCGACTGAAAGCATGCTTTCCTTCTAAAAGGAGATTGATCTGTAGGTCGCACAAGCAATCCAAAAATTGTGGCCCCTCTTAGACACATGAGAAAAAGAAGGGCTAGACGCTCTTTAAGCTATGAAATGTAGGGATGTCAGGGCATTAGGACATCTGAGCATGAGGTTTGGAGTCACATTTGTTGTGGTTCAGCCACTCACTAGCTCTATAACCTTGGGCAACTCATTTAACTTCCTGAGATCTATTTTTTCATCTGAAAGAAAAAAGTGGGGCCAGGCAAATAACTCAGCAGTGTAAGCACCTGCCTGGCAAGCACAAGGTCCTGAGTCTGATTTCCAGTACCCACCCCCAAAAAATGGGAATGATAACACCTCATTTGCAGAGCTGTTGCAAGGATTAAAACTAAATTATGTTTATAAAGTGCCTAACCCAGTGCCTGGCACATACTAAGTGGCATTACTAATACTATTAGCATCCTTTCTAAGGAGAGCCCTTCCCCTCCTGGGAAACCCTGTGTCTGTCTGTTGGACAGGTCCCCTTCACCTCCAGCCAGTCTGTACAGACTTGCTGCCTGCTATGTCACCGGGAACGCAAAGGCTGGGAAGAAGGCCCTTCACAAAACGGACTGGTGTTACAGGGTGAAAAGCTACCCCCTGACTTCATGCCAAAGCTCGTCAAGAATCTCCTAGGCGAGATGCCTCTATGGGTCTGCCAGAGTTGCCGAAAGAGCATGGAGGAAGATGAAAGGCAGACAGGTCGAGAACATGCAGTGGCGGTACGTAACCACTGACAGGGGGCCTCAGGGTGGCCACATCCCCAGGAAAGGTAGGCTGTTCCTTCCCTGTCTTTTCAAGGACTTTCCTTGGGAACCTCCCATGCTCAGATGCTAAAAGAATTGTGGGCTACATTGACACCTTGGGAGCTCAGATTCAGATTCGGGGGAGAGAGAAACAGTCTTCAGGCAACCCTCTGGCCTCAGCATAGTTCATACAGAAGGTGAAGACCTCATAGATTACGGTAGATCATGATCCTATTCCCTCAGGTGACCCTGATACCTTCTAATTCCTTGACACTTTGAAAGGTAAACCTTTATGACACAAAAGGCAGAGGTCAGTTTGAGAGTCTGAAGTGTGCGTCTGTCTGTCAGAAGGCCTCCAAAATAGGTGGCCAGACTTTCCTCATTTCTCATTCTTCTCCAGACCCTCTTTTACCCAGAATCAATTCAGCTTCAGGACTCCCAACTTAAAAAGCTTTCCTCTTGTTGGCTTTTCAGCCAATGCCCTCATTTACAGGCAGTCTCTGCCCCAGCAGAGGCTCTCTTCTTAGAGTCCACACACACCATGTGACTGGGAGTATCACAGCTCCCTTCCAGCGAAGACCCTTGCTTGTGCTTGCAGCTGGAGTTGTACAGGTTGTGCTGTGACCATGACAGAGGGGCCCTGGGGAGAGGGGGTGCCTTTGGTTATGCTGAGGCAGCAGAGGATCAGCTCTGCTGTTTGACCATGAGCCTTTTTCTTCTCCTTTTCCAGATCTCCTTGTCACATACATCCTGTAAATCACAGTCTTGTGGGGGTGACTCTCATTCCTCCTCGTCTTCTTCTTCATCATCCTCATCATCCTCCTCCTCCTCCTGCCATGGGAACTCAGGGGACTGGGACCCCAGCTCATTCCTGTCGGCACATAAGCTCTCAGGCCTCTGGAACTCCCCACACTCCAGTGGGGTCTTGCCCGGCAGCTCGCTCGGGAGCCCTCCTGCCATCCCTGGTGAGTCTCTGACTTCGGGAGGGGAGCCAAGACCCTCAGTATAGACAGCTGTGTTTTCCTCTCAGCTCTGTGCAGTGAATCAGAAGATGGGTTATTAAAATAAGTAAAAGCGGAGCTGTGTCAGTGGCAGCAGACCTAGACCTTGGCTATCTCTGTGAAATGCCTTCCCCAGGACTCAAACTGAACAGCTACTGATAGAGAAAGGTTTCCCTCAAAGCTGTCATTGGCTCTTATAGCTGTTCATGCTGGATCCAGGAAGGAAGCGGGTGAGCACTGTTTGAGGAACAAGTGGAATGAGAGGAAAATAGGACTTAAGTCACAACACCTGCCTTATAGCACTATGGCCAACTGGGCCCCTTAGCACCCTCAGCCTTCTTGACATCATTTTTTCCACCTGAGAGATGATGTAAACACACTGCACTTACATCCACAAGTGATGGGCAGTGCAAACTGCTATGTTTTTTAGCCAGTGAGCAGCTGTACAAGCCTTCCTTAGATTCTGGACAAGTGCAAAGACCCAGAGGGAAAAAACTTTGGCTTATTTTGATTTGTTCTATAAATACGATTTACAGTCATACTTCTAAATGGAGGGGCAAGCTTCTATAAAATGGTCCCTCCCCCAGGATTATGTGAATTAAGCAGTAAACAATTCATTTATCTTGGTTCATGAGCCAAAGAGAGTCATCAAAGTCTTTTCCCACTTTCTTTGTGAAATGTGAGTTCTCCCAGGAGTCAGGCATCCCTGGATCCTTGGGTCCACAAAAGCCTCAGCCTGCTGCAGCTACCTTTCCAACCCCAAGCAATGCTTGTGAATGCTGATCCTGAAAAGACCCAGAAAGACATAACACACACTCCCTGCTCGTGCGTAGCAGCATTCCCAGTGCCTTCTCGCTTGGGCCTAGGCTCCTCAAGCTTATCCAGCCAAGCTGCTTTCCACAGATTCCTCTTTGGCTCTGGGGTCACCTGTACTGAGAGGCTGTGCCGTCTGGTCACAGTAAGCAGGACACTGGTAATGAGCCTCTGGGCTTTCCTTCCTAGGTCTGACCCCTTTTTCCTCCCTCTACCCACAGGTGAGGCTTACCCCATCTCGGAGCACCACCAGCACTCAGACCTCACTGCTCCCCCTAACAGCCCCACTGGCCACCAACCCCAGCCAGCATCTCTGATCCCTTCTCACCCTGGCTCCTTCAACTCACCTCCCCACCCACACCTGATGCCTACCACCCCAGCAGCACCTTTTCCCGCCCAGGCTTCAGAGTGTCCTGTGGCTGCTGCTGCCACTGCTCCCCACCCACCAGGGACATGTCAGAGCCCCCACCTGCCCTCCACCAGCATGCCGCTCCTGAAGATGCCTCCACCATTCTCAGGATGCAGCCACCCCTGCAGCGGGCACTGCAGTGGGCACTGCAGCGGGCCTCTCCTCCCGCCACCAAGCTCTCAGCCACTCCCTAGCACTCACAGGTAAGTGGGCCACAAGGAAGACACACTCCCTGCTCATTGCAACTTAGGAGTTTTGGAAAACATTGCCAAGGGTATTTGGGGGGTAGAAATTAAAGGATAGATTGGGCTGAGGGTATTGCTCAGTGGTATAGCTTGTACTTAGCATGTACAGGGCAGGGCTTAATCATCAGAGCCAAAAATAAAGCAAAGAGTAGGTAACTAGTTTCATTGTTTTCCTAATTTAAGTAAAATATGTACTTTTTTTTTTTGTTTCTGTTTTTTAAAGAGTGCTTGCCTACCGTTCTTAAAGCTGTGGGTTCAATCCCCAGTAGTGTGAAAAAATACCTACTGATATTACTTACAATTATAGTCAGAAAGTCTTTAATAAAAATATAGCAAGTCAAATCCAGCAACATGTCAGAATGGTAATATAACAAAATGGGATTTACTGTAGGAATGCAAGGTTGGTTTAACATTTGAAAATTAATCAGTGTAATTCACTATGTAAAGAGCCAAGTATGTTGTAGTGCACACCTGTAATTCTAGCACTCTGGAAGGGTGAGGCAGGAGGATCACTATGAGTTCAGTACCAGCCTGAACTACATGGTAAGACCCTGCTTCAAAAAAAAGGTGGTGGTGGCTGGGAATGTAGGTACAGGAAAACATTTGACAGAATTCTTAGCAAACGAGAAATACAAGGACATTTTTCAACTTGATGTAAGTTATCTATGAATAGACTGCACCTAACATAATAATCGTGAAATGCTGAGTGCTTTAAAAGAAACATTTTGACTTAGAACAATTCAGGACTGATCAAGAAGAAAAACTAGCTGAGTGTAGTGGCACATGCCTATAATCCTAGCTACTTAAGAGGGTGAGGCAGGAGGATCACATGTTTGCAGCCAGCCTGTGCAACTCAACAAGACACAAATATATATGTTTGAGTAGCAGTTCTTTTTAAACATCCTAGCATATTTGTTCCCCCAAATTCTTTTAAAACTTTTCAATGGCCACATCTTACTGTACAGCACTAGCATAATTTATCATTCTCCTATTCCTGCACTGGTTGAACATTTGCAGTTCTTTAAACCAAGAGAACTAAAGCTGTAATTAACATCCTAAAATGGTGTTTGAATGAGGAATTGTATCCTTCAGACAATTCCTAGAAGTAAAACTGTGTACCAGGAAGGTTCATATTAATATATATTTGAAAGTGAATTCCTTGGAGCAGGTGGAGGTACATTTTTATAAGTCAAATCTGCCTTCATTATGCATCTATATTTTCCCACTCTGGTATCTCACCTTGGCAGTTTTTTCTTCATGTACCTTTCACATGGTATTGATGGTGTCTGTACTGATACACATCTTCCAGTTTTTACTTAGCATTACTTCATCTATGTTTGTGTTCTCAAGTAGTGGTCATAGTCTTCAGCATTCAAGACTGGAGAATGTTAACTGTGGTTACTTCATGGTTCTTCACTTGCTGAAAATCTAGGTCATTCCACCACTTTAACATGTAATGTCCCTAAAGATCTCTCAGCCTAAAGTATTTTCCCTCTTTTTGGATTTTTCTTCTTGGAATACTCAGAATGAAAAAGTTCTCACTTAAAGAGTGTTTGGGTTTTTCATTGTTGTGTCCAAAAGGGTTCTTAACATATGCTGAAGAGCTGCTTTCCAGAGGGAGTCCAAATACAGTAGCTGTAAAACTACCAATCATTAGTGCTCTCAGAAGCACTGGGTATTTTAGTTTTTGCTAATGTAATAAAGAATGGTTCATTTGGAATAAATTTCTGTAAGCAACACTGATAAGTCCTGCTGCTGTCTTTTCTAATCCCTGCTGCATGGCTACTGCCCTTCCAATCAGAGAGGGGCATTGTTGGGCCGCCTTTGGAGCTGAGCCTCAGCCAGCATGGGGACCAGGTCCTGCAGCACCTCAGCTGGTGATTGCCCAGGCTAGGGCCCTAACTCTTCCCAGTTCCTATTCTAGGACCTTTTAGCCCAAGTCTGATTGTTACCCTGGGAAAATACTCTATAAAAAATGTCTCTAGTGTTTCCCAAAACCCAAGGCAACATAGAGACTTGTGTCCTAGTTACCTGTTGGACAGAGCAGTCAAGCACTCTGAGCACTGGTCTGTACCACTGCCAAATGGGGAGAGTGGAACTTGTAGGACCTGGGAGTTGACTAGAAATAACATGCTGGGTACAGTACTAGGCACAGGCAATAGTTCTTATATATAGTCTGTGGCCCAGGAGATTCATTTGCTTTTTCTCAGCTCAGCGCCATATGGTTAAGGTAGCTCCACCCACTAATGCTGGGACCAGACTCAAGTAGTGAGGCCCTTTGAAAATGGAAGGAGGGCCAGGAATTTAGCTCAGTGGTGTAAGCACTTGCCTGGCAAGCATGAGGTCATGATTTTGATCCCCAGTACAAAAAAGAAAAAAGAATGGAAGGAAACACTGACCTCATTGATGGGGAGGTCATCAGCCTGCTAATCAGTCCAGTGACTACTTACCAAGCACAAGGTTGTTATGCTGTGTGCTGACACCCAAAAATGGGAGTAGCACAGTCCTTTGCCCTTGAGGAATGCTCAGTCTGATTTAAGGGGAAAGGAGGCAAATAGATCAGGCATACACTCTGGAACATACATTCTGGGATGCTGAGGCAGAAAGATTAAAGGTTTGAGCCCAGCCTAGGCAATTGGGCAAGACCCCAACTCAGAAAAAGAGCTAGGAATAAAACTCGATTCAGGGGTTCAGAGGTTTAGCTCAGCAGCAGAAGCACCTGCCTGGCAAGCACTAGGTCACGAGTTCAACTCCCGGGACCCTGCCCCCTCCCCCACAAAAAAAAGTTGATGCAGAGGGCCTAGGTTCAGTCCCCAGTACTATATAGGTGGTGAGGAATAGGAAAGCAGTTCACTGCAGGAACACGTGATTAACAAGCACATAGAGAGACGAGTCACTTGTCCCTGAGAAGGATGTACACAGTGGGCACAAGAAGTGGAGGTACAAGAAACCTTTCAGAGGGTAGTCTCTTATGTTTATAATGCCCCAAGGGATAGGAGGATAATGGCCCTGTGCTTTTGTGAGAAGCAGCTGAAGGGCAGTTAGGATGCTTCCCTGAGCTCCTGCCCAGCTACTTCTGCACCTTGCCCTGTGCTGCTCTTCCTCACCTCTGGGCCTTTTTTGCCTGCCCCAGGGATCCCGGGTGCAAGGGGCACAAGTTTGCACACAGCGGCCTGGGCTGCCCACTGCCCCAGCCCTGCGAGGCAGACGAGGGACTGGGCGAGGAAGAGGACAGCAGCTCTGAGCGCAGCTCCTGCACCTCAACCTCCACCCACCAGAGAGACGGGAAGTTCTGCGACTGCTGCTACTGTGAGTTCTTCGGCCACAATGCGGTGAGTGAGCCCACCCAGGCCAGAGAGGGCTGGGGGCCAGCCAGGTGAGCGAAGGTGTACCCTGCTCTCCCGAGACCCCTTGCTCACAGCAGTAATCACTACACCAGGACCCTGTGAGTCCTCACACCTGCGTCCACTTGCTTGCACCTCACAGCACATTGGTGAGGTTGTGATTTTTTTGGTTGGTTTTTTTTTGTTTTTTTGTTTTTCAAGATTTTGCTGCCTTTATTCTCCTGGTGGTTTCTCTTAAGATTGACTTTTTTTCTTCAGGCAAAAGGAAAGGAAGTGGCAGAGAGAAAGCTATGATTCTGATGAGTATGTATACGTGTGTAATCCCAGAGAAGTGAACGCTTGTGCGTGTTGAAGGCAGAGTGGAAGCAGAAAGGCCTTCAGTTCCTCAGGTGTGACAGCCAGCCGAGGGACAGGCCGTGGGCACAGACGGCTCCAAGAAGGAGGCTCAGATCAGAGTACATGCTGTCTCTGCACAGGGGAGAAAGCAGTTCAGAAGTCTCATAAGGTGAAGAAGAAAGGGCTGCTGATCAGGGCAGAGCAGTTGAGGACAGGAGGAATAAAAGTAATTCAGCTACTAGTTACCTTTGAGCTAGGTGTTATTGTCCTCATTTTAGAGATGACAAAATTGAGACTCACCAAGGCTTGATGACTCGCCCAAGGTCATACAGCTTCTAAGTGATAAAGCCCAGGCTCAAACCTGCTTCCCTGGCTTCCCAGTCCATGTCTGCCCAACTCCACCCTGTTCCTTCCCACTCCGCACCTGCCGCTGCCTCAGCTCAGAGCCTGGCTGAGGATGAAGCCATTTGGCCTTGGTGGCCGATGGTAGAACAGTTGTCTTGTTCCTTACTACAACGTACATGGTGCCAGTGGGTGGGAGTGCTGTGGGCCTTTCAGGCCCAGGGTGTAATGTCAGCACCTCCCCCTCCCCCAGCCACCCGCTGCCCCGACGAGTCGGAATTATACTGAGATCCGGGAGAAGCTCCGCTCAAGGCTGACCAGGCGGAAAGAGGAGCTGCCCATGAAGGGGGGCACCCTGGGCGGGATCCCTGGGGAGCCCGCCGTGGACCACCGAGATGTGGATGAGCTGCTGGAATTCATCAACAGCACGGAGCCCAAAGTCCCCAACAGCGCCAGGGCCGCCAAGCGGGCCCGGCACAAGCTGAAAAAGAAGGTGGGTGTGGGGGAGCTCAGCACTACTGCCTCTACTCCCTGAGGAATCTCTTGCCTCCAGCTCCAAGACTTCTGGGGCATGAACGGTGCTAGCTGCCAAAGACCTTGGCATGGATCACTGCTCTGGGAAGGTCTGAATGAGTTTGGGAGGCATCAGGGTCAGGGAGCCTGGGGACAAGTTACCAGAGGAAAACATGTATCTTGACCTCAGGAGCTGCTTGCTGGATTCTTCTAAGCAAGGGCTTGCTTCAGTTGATCATGTATTCATTCAGCAATTACTTCTACAATACTGGGAATCAAAGTCTAATGCAGTTAAGAAGCTCAGTCCAGTGTGGACACTGACAAAAAACTGGACAAGCGTACTAGTGTATGACAAGTACCGGGATGGGTTCTCCATCCTCCCTGGAAGTGACTTTAGAAGAGGCTGACTTGTGAGCTGAGTCATGGGGAGTGAAGACAAGTTAGCCAGGAGGGTTTTCCCAGCACTGGGCACAGCACACCCTACAGGAGCTTGGTAAAGCCAAAGTGGAAAGCAGCAGAGAAGGCAGGACAGGTGGTAGAAGGAGGCCTCTGAGGTCAGCTGAAGATCAGCTTTGACTCTAGCCTCCAAGTGAGGGCTTGTCACTGGAGAGTTGTCATCAAAGAATGTGCTTAGTTAGATCCATGATGTGATTGTGCTATGGCAGTATGGGACTTAGACTGAGATTGAAGGGAGATGGAATTTGATGCTCCAGGCTGGAAAAGAAGGGCTGAGAGAGAGGTGACTATGGGTGGGACTAGAACAGCAGAGACTTGCAGAGGAAACAGAAATGACAGGTCCAGGAGCAGGATGGAGTCAGGGATGTCTCCCAGGTGAAGAACAGCAAGAAGGTGTTAACTCTCACAGCCAGGATGGCATTTGTAGAAGATTCCATGCAGTTGGGACATACTGACTCGGAGCTTCCTATGAGACATCCAAGTGGAGACAGAGATGTGAGGCTTGGAGTTTCCAGCACAGAGTTGTAATTGAAGCCATGGGAATAAATCAGTCCTCAGGCCAGAGAATTGAACCAAGGAGCTATTTGTGGGCAGCCCTGCCATTGGGTGAGCCCCAGTACTTGATAGCTCATCCCTTGTGGCTTCATTACCTCTTTACTTACGTACCCCCAGCTGCATCTGTGCAGTGCCATGTTCAGGCGCCCAGCATCCAAAGGATTTGGGTTTGACAGCTAGCTGGTTACAGTTCCTGGGTGGTCAAACAGCCCTGGTGCTCTGGAACCAGGCAGAAGTGATTCTTCATCTTTTTTTCAGCCCAAAGGATAGCCAATGATCCTTCCTCAGTTTGACATTAAGCCAAAGGGTCTCACCACTCCCTTCAGAAAATGTCCTGCTCCCGTCCAGAGCTGCCATCCAGAAGTGTCAGTGGGCTGCAGTGGTCTCTCTGGCCCCTTAGGACAGAATGTGATCCTCAGTTGGATTCCCCAAGGGCCACCCTCCTGTAGTTCCCAGGCCAGGTGTACTTTTCATAAATGTGTAGGTCCAGATAGTGCTCCCTGCTTCACTTATCATGTTGTCCCTTCATGCCTTCTCTTTGGGACAGACTGTCCCTCCAAGCTCAGTTTTAGACATTGCCTCCTTTGCAGACTTCCTCAGGGAATTCTTCCACTACTCACTGTGTCTTGCCTATTTCTCTAAGCTGCCATTTATCATGCTCTTCTCACTCAGTCCAAATCTCATTGCGTAGCAACCATCTGCCAAGCCCAACCTAGAGGCCAGCCTGCAGACAAACCAGGCAACCCTGCCTTTCCAGATGTAGTCATAGAACCTCAGGCGGGACAGCATGCACAGGCAGTCATCGTATCAGGTGACTGTGGTCACTCTCTGTTTAAGTAGCAACCTTCTTCCTGGGGTTCCTGTGCCTCCTGGACTTAAATACACACCTGGCTGTCCACCAGTGCTCCCAGAAGTTGCTCATTTTCTTCCACCTTGAAAAATGGATGAAACCAAATGTCTTCCTGTTCCTTTATCTCATTCTCACTTTTGTGTACTAATCCCTAATCTTTTGAAACTTTATCCCAGTTCAGTATCTACAATCTCTTGGCCACTGTTCTTCATCCACTGACTACAATCACCTCCTGCTTTCTCTTCTTCCCAATCTAATCTATCATGAACTCATTTTTGGTACTGGTAGATGACCAAGCAGTTTGACTCATCACTCAATCACTGTCTTACCAGTACCCAGTTCTTCATCCCACTTGCCTTCTGTCATCTCCTTAGAAAAACTGCAGCCCTTGATGCCTGCCCCAGCCCACTTGCCCCTTTTGCATATTGCGGATAGCACAAGACCAGATCTAACATGCTCAGCTGGGTAGTCTCCTGCTTGCTTAAGCCCCACATTGCCTGGCCAGTCTCTTGTAGTCCCTGTAGCTCCCTGTTCCTCTTCCCGGGCATTCATACTGTCTGTCTGCTAGACCTCTTATCCAGCCCCCAGGCCCACCCAGCACCGATGCACACCTTTATTTTTGGCAACCTCTTCTGTTTCCACAAGAAATAAAGTTTTTGGACTGACATTCTCTTGACTCTGACCACCCCACCTGCAAGCTTACTTTTTATTCCATGAGGGAAGGGGTGTCCCTTGCCCATCCCAGGCTGTATGCTCCTTTCTCCTGCCTCAGCTCAGCACCAGACGACCTACGTTAGAGCTCTGACCTGTCTTCTAGTCCAGGTGCCATCACATGTTGCTGTGCCCCACTGCTGTGTTTTGAAAGCAGACTATTCCTCAGCCTGGAACCTCTCCTGCCTGGCTCCCCAGTCCTTTTCCTCTTAGAGCAGCCACATTTCTTTTTCTTTTTCTTTTTTCTTCTTTCTTTTTTTGGACCAGGGATTGAACGCACGACCTTGCATTTGCAAGGCAGGCACTTATGCCGCTAAGCTAAATCCCTAGCTTCAACCACATTTCTTGAAAGACAGTGTGTGCCTTCTCTGTCTCACTTCTCCGCCTTGTCAGCTCACTGCACATTGTTCCCATCCTCTCTACAGTGTCACTGCTGACTTCTTAGTTCCTGTTCCAAATTCCGATTCCCATTTATGTTTATCCAATAAGCAATCTTTGACATTTGGTATGTGCTCTTCTTTTCAAACTTTGCTTTTGGCTCCTCCACTACTCTCAGCCAAACAGGTCCAGGAAAGGGACCGTGGGAACACTGTCATCTCATGACTTCTGACCTACCTCTCTGTCTGCTTTTGTCTCCTTTGTGAATACCTGGCCCTGCCTCCTGAGTACATCTCCCTGGGAAAAGAAAGCCATCTAAGTAGTGTTTCTTCCCTATACTGAACCCTGAACCCGCTTCTCCTATTGGGCTCCCCCTCACAGATAGCCCACAGGTCCCTCAAACTCACAGCAGTCTGTTAGCTTTCACCTGAAGAGCCTGCCTTTCCTCCCCATTGTCAGTGGTACTACTTTCCACCCTTTTGCTGACCTGAGCACCATCCTTTAGGAGTGAATCCTAGTGACCGAGAACAGTGGGCCTTGGAATTAGACCACAGTTTGAAGCTTGGCTCTGCCACACTTGCTGTATGACCTTGGGCAAATCACTTAACCTCTAAGCCTCAGTTTCTTCATCTATAAAATGAGAATAACAGGAGAACCTCAGTCATACCTTGCTGTGAGGATGAGAAGGAATGGTGCATGGAAAAATGTTGGGCAGGTTGCCTGACACATGTGAATGCTTGGTCCATGGGGGCTGCTATAGCTGAAATAGTGTTTAGCAATGTTTTTTTAATGTATTTCGTTCTCTTTCCCCACCCGAAATCAAAAGTCCTCTCCGTGCTACTTTCCCCAACAGCTCAAACCAGCCCACTTCTCTCTACCCATTACCTCTGTTTTTGAAGTGTTCAGTGGCTAAACATTGTTTTCAGGCACAAACCCAGTTTCTAACACAGACGGATCCTGGATCAGCCTCTAGCTTGCCAGTTTCATCTATGAGGCTGTCCTTTCTGACCTACTTGCCATTATCCACACCCTACCCACCCCACAACAATAAAAACTAGGCTCCAGCTAGACCCTTAAATGGCATGCTTCCCAAATGATATGTTTTCCCAATTCCCAGCTTTTGCATTGGCTATTCCTTCCTTCTAAACAGTCCTTGCTCACTTTCTCGGGATAATTCTACTCACCCTTCAGTGTTTCCTCTGGGAAGCATTCCCTAATGACCCAAGCACATGAGCACCCTGTGCTTTTTCCCTATGTAGCACTTATTACTGTCTATCTGAATTAAAACAGCCTGTCTCCCTCAGCAGAGACTATGTCTTAAAGTCAGCTACACTCCCAGAGCCTAGCCTACTGCCTCTCATTCGATGGGTAGTAAATGCTTGGCAAATAGAAGTGAAAACCATAGCAGCTTCTGAAGATCATTCCTGATGGATTGTCCCAACTCTGCCATTTATTAGCCATGAGCCAGTTCTGTATTCTTCCCAGACTTGAGGTTCCTCATCTGTAAATTGAGGATCATGGTGCAACAAGGACAGTGGTAAGGACTAAATGAGACAACCTAAGGAAGGAGCCAGGCTTATGGTATGTAGCAGATTATACATTTCTCTGCTTTCTCCTTCTCTTCTTACCAAGTCTACATTTTGCCCTTCGCACTAGTACTTTTTAGACTTTTTTGTTTAGCAGCAACTTTTTTCTGTGAATGAAATCCTCCATGGAACCCCAATCCTTAACAACCTGAAGCAAAGCTTGGTGGTCCAAAGAGGAACAGGGTGAAGTGCCTTCTGGGCGCCCAGCTGTCCCTACAGCCTGAACCCCACACACAGCTGGAAGTGCTGCTCTAGGGTGTACTGGTGCTCACCTGAGCACCCCCACTGCGAAGGCACAGCCTTTGGCACAGACCCAGCCATTCCCAGCACCTGGGAGGTAGCCACATTTTTGTCTTCCTAAGCTACAAACTGGGAAATTGGATTCAGAGAGAATAAGTGATTTGTCCAAGGCCCTCTAGGCACAGCTGACCTTAGTCGCCAAGCCAGTGTTCAAAAGAGATGAGAGGATAAATACCTCCTGGCTAGGGCACAGGGTCACTCTCTAAATTGACTAAGGTGGTAGCAAGCCCTGTTTTCTCTCCCCAGATTTCTCTCCCTGTTTTTCCCCTTCCTTCCCAAATCAACTGGAAATATATAAGATGGAGGGAGTCATTAAGCACCTGGTACTCTACCATCACGTCCTTCCCAAGGATTCTGACATCTCCCTCCTGTCTCCTGAAGGCCCTCATTGGCCTGCTGATGCCTGTGACTCAGCCCACAGGTTGATTTCCATTCTCTGGATCCAGATCTATAGAAAGCCTAATGGGCAGTGTCTAGCCCGTGAGAGCTCCCATCCTTCACCTAAGCTCAGAGGCTGTTCTCACATCCTGCAGTGAGAGCCACTTCTGGCTGTCCATTGTATGCCCTGAGGTACACATTAAATGTGACCTCAGTTACGTACAGCCAGCTGAGCAGTGAAGGTTGTCCTCTTCAGTAATTCCCAGACACAACATCAGGAGGCCATATGCTTTCCTAGCAATTCACAATGGTATCATCTACGTGGAGCAGTCTTAACAGCCCCCTTGTCTTAACAGCCCCTTCCTGTAAGACTGCACAATATGGCTTTTCTCCTGCTACCTTCAGCATTGAAGAGACTGCCTCTCCAGCATCTGTGTTCCCCACATGCACTTCCTTTGGTGTTCACTCCAGAATTATTGTCCCCATTTTGCAGGTTGACTGGTGAATGAGTATATTAGTTGGGGTCACACACACATAGGCCCTAGAGGCAGACTCAACCTTTTTGAAGACTCTACCTTGACTGCTAACCTTTTTTGGCGTAGGACTGACAATGGGTGCAGGATAAATAAGCTATAAAAACCCTGTCTTCTAAGGCATACCTTTACCCTTGTTCAATACTGTTATCTATCTGATTACATTTCACCCTCATTCCTGCAAGATGATTGAGCAGAGAAAGAGACTGCCTTCAGCAAGTTAGTAGCAAAGCTAGGCCCCAGACTGATGTTTCACGCGTCACTTTTTACCTGGAAGCTGACAGGCCCCGCTGAAACGACCTCTTGTATTGACAGGAAAAAGAGAAGGCCCAGTTGGCAGCAGAAGCTCTGAAGCAAGGGAATCGTGTTTCTGGAAGCCAGGAACCAAGGCCTGCCAGGGAGACACTGTTGGAGTGGCCTGACCAGGAACTGGATCGGGTCAACAGCTTCCTGAGCAGCCGTCTGCAAGAGATCAAGAACACTGTCAAGGACTCTATCCGCGCCAGCTTCAGCATGTGTGAACTCAGCATGGACAGCAATGGCTTCTCTAAGGAGGTAGCTGCCGAGCCTGAGCCCCAGACTTTACGCCCCTCAAACCTCAATGGCTCCTCAGAGCAACGGCCTGACATCAACCTTGACCTGTCCCCTTTGACTTTGGGCTCCTCCCAGGGCCACACGTTACAAGCTACAGGTGAGCCAGCCCCACCATGGGCAGAAATGAGAGGCCCCCACCCACCATGGACAGAGGTGAGGGGTCCCCCTCCTGGTATCACGCCTGAGAATGGGCTGGTGAGGAGACTCAACACTGTGCCCAACCTGTCCCGAGTGATTTGGGTCAAGACACCCAAGCCAGCCAACCCCAGCTCTGAGGAGCCAAGTTCAAAAGAGGTCCCAACTTGCAAGCAGGAGCTGCCTGAGCCTGTGACCACAGGTGGAAAGCCACGGAAGGGCAAGAGACAGGGCTGTCAGACCAAGAAGAGTGAGGCGATCCTGGTTCCCCGGCCCCCAGCAAGCATAGAGGCCCCCAGTACCAAGAGCCAGATGTCCAGTCCCAAGCAGATAGGCAAGGGCCCAGAGCCTCCCAAGGTGGGCAACTTCACTGAAGCCGAAGAGGGTAGCCGGGGAAGCCGACCAGGACCGGGTTGGGCTGATAACTCCAAAACTGAGAAGGAGAAGGGCAGCTCCTGGAGAAACTGGCCAGCTGAGGCCAAGGCACGGCCTCCAGAGCAGGAGTCTGTGCAGCCCCCTGGCCCAGCAAGGCCACAGAACTTGCCCCAGGGCAAGAGTCGAAGTCGCCGGAGTCGCAACAAGCAGGAAAAGTCGGCCTCCTTGTTGGGTGAGTGCACCAGAAACCGAGTGGCTGGCCCCCCACCACAACAGGCCACGGGGTGGAGGGCAGTCCTTGTGTGGGCAGTACTGCCACCAGAGCATGACCCCCAGAGGCCTGGCCATGGGCACTGAGCCCTCCTGGCTCTGTCTTCCTAGACGATGTATTCCTGCCCAAGGACATGGATGGGGTGGAGATGGATGAGACTGACCGCGAGGTGGAGTATTTCAAGAGGTAGGTGTGGGCTTGTCATGCCCAAGATCCGTATGACACTGAGGGCCTCAAAACGGCCTGCTCCTCAACCCTGAACCCTTGGGGGACCTCACTGCCTTTCAGGCTCTGCCACATAGCCTGTCTGCTCGAACCCAGGGATCCATTTGGCAAGATGGAGCATCTGAGAAGTTTAAGGCATGGGGAGAAAGGATGTCAGACCTCAAAAATAAAGACTTTCTCCAGCTTTATTCACTTGAACTTACTCTGTCTGCTTTGCTTGGGCTTAACTCTGGGAACAGTCGAGACCAGTGATGGCAAACCTTTTAGAGTTTGCAGTGATATGAAGAGGCCACTGCAGCACACATGCCATAGGTGGTGAACCACCATTGGTTTGGACAGAAAAAGATCCAGAAGTATACAGCCCAATGATTAATGCCACTAGAGCCATAAGAGCATGATGGGGCAGTGAGGTGGGAGACTCAAAGGAGAGCTCCAGAGCAACTTGGGGCAGGCCAGGAGCCTTCCTGGGATGGGTGATACCCAAGAAGACTAAGCTGGCCAGGTAAAGCAGGACAGTATTTGTGACAGTGGGGCCATCTTGTACAAAGGCCTGAGAGTGAAAGAAGCAGAGCATACTTGGGGGAACAGAAACCACCCAGTTCAGCTAGACAGTAGAGCAAGGTGAGCGGGGAACTTGAATTTCAGGATGGTCTCACTGTCTTGTCTCTTGGCCTCATGGGCATTGGTTCCCAGACCATCAGAGCTCCCATACCTGTCAAATCCTTTCACCTGGAAACCACAAAAGCTGTTCAATCAGTGCTTTGTTGGGGGGTTGGTTTCTGTGCTGGGAATTGAACTCAGGGCCTTCACACTGAGTTATGTCCCTAGTCCTTTTTTATTTCTGAGACAGGGTCTGGCAAAGTTTCCCAGTAGGGACTCATTCTTGTAATCCTCCTACCGTAGCCTCCTAAGCCACTGGGATCACAGGGATGCACCACCACACCCAGTACCCACTGGTTTCTTAGCAAGACAATGTCCAGATGAAGAGTACACTCAAGAAGGGAGAGAATCTCTAATTGTGCTTCTCCTATGTCTCTTAAAATCAACAGGTTCTGTTTGGATTCTGCAAAGCAAACTCGTCAGAAAGTTGCTGTGAACTGGGCCAACTTCAGCCTCAAGAAAACCACTCCCAGCACAGCTCAGTAAGGTAGAGACCCCAGGTGTTATCTGAACCCACCCCATGTGCTCTGCCACCTGTGTCCTGTAAGATCATTCTCTGCTCTCAAACAAAGGAGTCGAACTTTGATCTTAGCAGCCCTACTGCCTCACCTCTGCAGCACCCCCACAGCAAGCTCCAGTGTCTGAAGGTCTGAGCCCCATCACTTCTGAGTCACTCATCCTTGGTCTTTGTCCTTTAGCCATTTCTCTCTGCCAGGCCCTGATGCCCATGTTCCTGAAGGGCCCATCCTGGGCTGCCATCCCTGGACTATCAGCACGAGGACTCAGCCTTTTCTCAGGCTCTCACAGTACCCATGCTACAGTAGGCCCCATGCCCATGGAACTGCCCCCGTCCCTCACATGATCATGCTGGGGCTTACTTCTTGCTCACTTAGCCTGGTTCCTCTGTGCAGGGGGCCTTGCAGTTGAAACAAAGTGAAAAGTAGCCAGCCCCAAGAAGCAGTGAGAGGGTAGATGAGATAGAGCCTAAGCTTCTATAAACATGAAGGAGTACTGGGGATATAGCTTAGTGGCACAGTGCCTGCCTGGCAAGCACAAAGTGGTGAGTTCAATTCCTGGTATCATAAATAAATAAACAAACAAACAAATATGCTTGGGAGGCTGAGTCAGGAGGATTGTGATGAGTTCAAGCTCAGTCTAAAGTACATAGTGAGACCTTACCTCAAAAAAAAAAAAAAAAAAAAGAAACCCACAAAGGAGTTGGTGGGTGCTTCCCTCCAAACAGAACAAATTCCTTGAGGAAATTGGTAGCCATGCTGCCTCCAGGAAGAAGAAACCTGATCCTGGACGGCTCTGGCCTTTGCACTGGTTCTTTTGTCTGAAATATTAACACACTGGCTGATACTCTTGAACTAAGTACAGAAAACTAGAGAAAGCATTGGGCCAGGAACCTTAGTGCAAAAGAGAAGGGCAGATAGCAAGTGTCCTTGGTGCTGAGTTCAGGGCTTTATGATTATACAGTTCCGTGTCTCAACCCTGTCTTGTGTCCCTGGGACCAGGCCTTTTCTTGCTAACAACTCCATAGCTTCCCTCAAGGCCATAGGAGGCTGGGGCAGTTAGGCTGGCCTTAGGGACATATGCCCCTGAGATCTTCACTTGTCTCCACTCTCCTGTTTCCAGTGCCAGGGCACCTCTCTGGGCTAACACAATGCATTTCCCACACCCTCAGCTCTCCAGGACAGCCCGAAGAGCCTGAAGCACCCTTTAAGGCTGGGGCTCTCTGTGGCATGGTATCTAGGACTTGTCCCAAATCAGGATGTTCTTCAGACTCCCTCTCAGCCCTCTGCTCTAAGGAAGCTGGGCTTCCTGGTCATTTGCCAAATCAGAGGGTCCACTCCCCAGGAATATCTGCCAAAGCCAAGCTGCCCTCCTACCTCTCTTCTCCACCTCCACAGGAACCAGGCACTTGACCTGTTGTTCCTACTGTAAGTAAAAAGGTCACGTCTCCAGTTCCACTTTTCAGGAAATCAATCCAGCCATCCTCTCCTTCCTTGCCTGTGTGTTTCCTAAGATAGCAGACACATGGACACACACATACACCACTGAGTGTTTTCTTTACCATCCTTTGGTGGGCTGAGAGCCTCAGTGTGTAAGAAAGGAATCCTAGCATGCACTGAGGCCCAGCCCAGGCCATGTCCCTGGAGACTGAGTGGAGGGGTGGCCTCCTCCAAAACTTGCTAGTGGGAAAACAGATGCCAGTGGCCATTAGACCTGGCCTGGAAGGATGTGCTGCAGCAGGGGACCTAGGCACCTCGAAGATTGTCCTACATGTTGCCAGAACCCCAGGACTGGGTTTTGTCCCTCAACAGGGTCTTAACCTTCTTCCTGTGTTAAAAGTCAGCCAGGAAGTCTCTTCAGCATTTTCAGCCTAAGGAACAAAAATCTGAGCCAGCTGTTTCTGCCTCCCTAGGGACCCCATGTTGGCATGGGAAAGGTAGAGCACAGCCATTGCTCCCAGTGATCCTACTCTTTGGTCCTTTCTCAGCCTTCTCTAGGTCAAGCTTCTTCAGGGCATCCGGAGGCCCCGACTGCCAGCTGAAGGTCTGCGAGTTCTCCTCCCGTGTGCCCTGACCACCTGCCCTAACCCTTGCTGCTCCTTCCATCCTGGACCAACCAAAAGCTGAATGGATGCCACACTGCGCAGGGGTCCTTCAGAGCCTCTGATGAGCTGTTTCCTGGTGCTACGCAGCCTCCATACTCAGAGACTGGGGACTGGGCTGGCCTGTGGGCCAGCGGCTGATGGTACTGCTGGCCCAACACTGCTTTGTGTTCAGTTTTATTATTTTTTTTTTTCAATTCTTTTGATACTGTGAAGATCTTTCATGCTGAAAGATAAAGCAACATTTGAACACAGAGTTGGTGTGATTGTGATTTGTTGGTCTGGCAGGAAATGGGATGAGGGGTTGCTTAGAAGCATTGGATCCAATTTTTTAGTTACTAACCTTATGAAGCAGATCCTGTGTTTCATCAATTTGGCACAGTTTTCTATTTAATCCTCAGGACCCCTCAGAACAATCATATGTGGGACTGTTAGCCCATTTTGTAAATGAGTAAACTAAGGCTAAAACAGGAAAGTGAACCTCATCAGCTGAACTTTGACCAAGTAGGGCTGAGCACAGGCCTGTATTTCTTTGGAATCTATATCCTTTCCTCTTGTGGAAGGTCCCTGGTATGTGAGTCTGAAGCAGCCTTCTTCCAATATTGTATTGGTTTCCTTCTTTGTAAGATGGCTAAGCATCAGCAGGGTGGGTGTCACAAGGAGTCAAAGGGAGGGAGACCGTCTTGGACAGTGCACCTGAAGCTTGGCTGACTGAAGCTCGTCACTGACTTAATGTAGTCAGTGACAGTTGAGGGTAAACAGTTGAGGTAAAAGTTTTTATGACCTAAGTCTGATTTCTCAGTGGGAATGGGACACATAGCCTAAGGATTTGAAAGTTAAAAGAATAATGAAATGCTCTGTAAAGTTGAGCAAATTACCTCATCTCTCAAATGCAGCTTTGTTTATAAATTCAGATTTTAATGCAAGGGGTTTGCTAAAAATGCCTCACACTCACTTGTGTCCACACTGCCTCCCCTCAAAGTGGTTTACCAAAACCCACTCAACTTCAGCTTGTGTGGGAAGTGCCATATCTAGAGAATCGCTCTACAGTCACTAAGACTCCTGCATAGGACATTTATGAGCAGCAACCACCACCCTTGCTGCCTGCCCACCCAGGTAAAGCTCAGCCATACAGAATGAGTGTCAGCTGCCTCTTCCTGAGAAAAGAGTACAGAACACTGATCAAGACTCACAATTCTTGGTTCCTGGTCTGTCCCAGTCTCCAAGGAAATGTAGCCACTTCCCTGGGAAACCTTTATCAGCTGTGAATCTCTCTACTTACACCAGGTTCCTGCAGTCCAGCTGAATTGGTATGCTTACCTCAAATTCTGCTTCATCATGCCAGATACGTAGGTCTGGCCAGCCCATTTACCAACAGGATTCCTTTTTTTTTTTTTTTTTTTTTTTTTTTTTTTTTAGATAGAATCTCACTATGTAGAACAGGCTGGACTCACTATTTGACCAAAGCTGGACTCGAACTCAGCAGTCCTGTCCCAGCCTCCAAGTGCTGGGATTACAGGTGCACATCAAACATGCCTGGTCCTAATTGAGCCAGGCATGGCGCGGCACATGTCGCTGATGGGAGGACTGCTGCGAGTTTGAGGCCAGCCTAAACGACATAAGGAGATCTTACGTCAAACAAACACACAAATCAAGGAAAGACCACAAAATTTACACATTCTGACAGTCACTGTCACTGCGGCCCAGTCTCCTTTTTCAAGTTCAGCTCTAGCTACGTCACCTCACATCATCCATCCCACTTTGTTCCCTGGGGAATTGTACTTGCACACTGACAGACCTTTTCCTGCTGCATCTGTAGAAAGCCTCCCTTCCACTCTGCGCCAATCACCACGCTTTGCTGGAAGCGCAGAACCACTGTCTTTAAACCACCTCTGGTGGCTCAGGCAGTCACTTAGATTTACAACAATAATCGACAATTTAAAAACACTGTCATCAGTATTTTATTAACCTTTACCACTCCGACCATAGTTTGTTATCACACACAAATGAGAACACGGGTCAGAATGGTAGCAGATGTTCAGTCACCAAGTCTGCAAGCCCCCACCCTTCTCCACACCCAGGCACACAGTGAGACACAGGAGGAATCCCAGTTTGTTGGATCTGGAAACTAGCGACCCCAATAGGCCGTACTGTCGTACAGTTTCGCGCACCTAGTTGAAAGCCCTTTCCTTCCGCTCACGATCAGCAGTGTCCATTCAAGGAGTCTTCCAGTGCCAAGGCTGGCTTGAACCTTCTACGCATGCTCCAAATCCTCCAGTATCCCACAACGCAATGCAAGCCACTCTCCTCCTCCTCTCAGGCAACAGTAGTGCAAACATAAGAAATTTGTCCCTCTGCGCGATCCGTCACACGGACATAGTTGCTAGCCGACCACTCCGTTTCTTAACATCTGATTGGATTTCACTCAAAGATGAGGCGTGGTTTGGTTGTAGGGTGCTTTTACGGCAAAGGATGGAGGAGCCAGATCCCGAAAAAAAGGTGGGAGAAAAGTTGAGGCCTGCGCGGTTGGGGAGCCCAAGTGAAGGCAGCGGGGTCGGGACTTGATTCTTGTATATCTGCAGCGAGCTCGGGTCGACGAGACGTCTGCTGCAGGAAGCCGCTCTGAGGCTGAGGATGAGGACGACGAAGAATACGTACCTTATGTACCATTGCGACAGCGCCGGCAACTACTGGTGAGAAACCCAGATAAGTGGAGAAATGTGGAGGCTGAGTACTGGGACGTAATTGGATGGGAAGTGCCCTGACCTTCAGGGAGTAGTGGGTGATCTGAGCAGCGTTAATACATGGGAGCGTGTTCCCAAAGCAAATGAGTGCCCGACAACCTAATCTAAGGAGTAAGACACAGGACCCTCGCCCAAAAACCAAGATTTTAAGCAGGAACCCGATGACCCGCTCTTCTGTCGGGCTTTATTCTGAGGGGTACTGTTGGACTTCAGCTCCAGAAGCTGCTGCAACGAAGACGCAAAGGAGCTGCAGAAGAGGAACAGCAGGACTGCAGCAGCGAGCCCCGGGGAGATGAGGACGATATCCCGCTGGGCCCTCAGTCCAATGTCAGTCTCCTGGATCAGCACCAGCACCTCAAAGAGAAGGCTGAAGGTGAGTTGGGCAGCACTGCTTGAGGGGAAAAGGAGAAGCCAAACCTCTTTTCCTATGTTGATGTCTACCTGTCTCTGGTGTCTTTGCCTTGTTTTCTCAGCCCGCAAGGAGTCTGCAAAGGAGAAGCAGTTGAAAGAAGAAGAGAAGATTCTGGAGAGTGTGGCTGAGGGCCGAGGTATTATTGCAGCCAGGGCAATGAGGAGGTGGACTAAACTGCCTCACCCCAACCTCAAGCATGTTACGTATCAAGAGATCTGATATCTGGGAAGCAAGAGTCACCCTAAGCTATGTCTGTCTTCCAGCCCTGATGTCAGTGAAGGAGATGGCCAAAGGCATCACATATGATGACCCAATCAAAACCAGGTACACCTTCCTAGTTGGGGCAGTCACTTTTACTCAAGATGACATACTGCTGAGATTAGCAGTATCCAGGGCTTCTGTTGATCCCCACTACTCACCCATAGTTGGACCCCACCCCGTTATGTCCTGAGCATGTCTGAGGAGCGGCATGAGCGAGTACGGAAGAAGTACCACATCCTGGTCGAAGGAGATGGTATCCCACCACCCATTAAGAGCTTCAAGGAAATGAAGTTTCCTGCAGGTATCTGGGAGAAACACCACACTTTTCAGTATAGATGCTGCCAAAGTGAACACAGCACACTTTTATAAACCAAACCTTTGTTGTATTCTCGTTCTCATTTAGCTCAGCAGCATGATCACTGGGTCTAGCCAATGAGGATGCCAGGATTTGATACGGGGTTTCTTTATGATTGCCTTTCAGTTACCCTAGCCATATGTTCACTCCTCCACTGTTACAGAGCTTCACTGGCAAAGTAATGTTGAGCTTAGACCTGAATGTGAAGCCTGGCCCCATTAAGCCTATGGCATTACAAAAGTTTTCCTTTCTTCCCATCTTTTTGTTCCCTAGTCTTCAGTCCATCACTTTAACTTTTGAAGAAATGCCAGTTCCACAGGTGCTAGGCCTCTGATAAAGTGCCTGTTATTTTCCACAGCCATCCTTCGAGGCTTGAAGAAAAAGGGCATTCTCCACCCAACACCCATCCAGATCCAGGGCATCCCCACCATGTGAGTATGGACTGAGACCTGGGGTCCCTGGGGAGGGTTGTGACAGGAGGGGAAATGGTCAGGTGTCTGGCTGGAGAAGTAGTTGCTGCCTTCTGCTGGATCTCAGGCTGTCTTCTCTTAACAGTCTGTCTGGCCGAGACATGATTGGTATCGCCTTCACGGGGTCAGGCAAGACGCTTGTGTTCACGTTGCCTGTCATCATGTTCTGCCTTGAACAGGAGAAGCGGTTGCCTTTCTCTAAGCGTGAAGGGCCCTATGGACTCATCATCTGCCCCTCAGTAAGATAGCCTAACCTGGTGGGCAGGGTAGATGCTGTGGCTGCCTCCAGGTACCAGCTGTATCCCTGTTCCTACAGCGGGAGCTGGCCCGGCAGACCCATGGCATCCTGGAATATTACTGCCGCCTGCTACAGGAGGACAGCTCACCCCTCCTGCGCTGTGCTCTGTGCATTGGAGGGATGTCCGTCAAAGAGCAGATGGAGACCATCCGACAGTATGTACAGGGAACCTTGCCCCATGGGCCTCCCCAACTTACATAGAAAAGCTAAAGGTCCCTTTAGTCACTCCCTGGACCCCACAGAGGCTTCCTGTGAGCCCAACCCTCAAGGGCCCTGAAATATAATGGAAAGATGGGTTAAGGTAAGATAGAGGGATGTAGTCAGGTACTGTGGGAACACAACAAATAGAATAGCCCATCCTTTTGGGACATCTGGGAAGAAAGAAGTCAGACAAGGCTTTCAGGGAAGGTGACATTTGAATTTTGAAGAGTGGCAGATCTGGACATGGACTAGATCCCAAAGCACTCATGTCCTGTCCATACAATGCAGTCTCCAACTGCTAGCACCAGATACCGTGGATGAGGTCTTAGAGTCATGAAAGGCATTCTCTGTCTCAGAAAGATGCCGCCCCAAAAAAGATGAAGTCAGTATACCCAGAAAGTAAGCCCAGCAAGGGCTACAAAGAGACTGCAGAATCAGGCACAGCTTTAATCACAGTGCTTGAGAGGCCACACAGAAAGATCTTCAGTTTGAGGACATACCAAGTTGGACGCTAGCCTGAGCTTAAAAAAAAAAAAAAAAAAATAGGGCACAGTGAAGCCTCTGCAAAGATTCAGGATCACTCTCCTGGGGCAAGATGAGTGACCCTGGAGGAAAAAGAATGTGTGCCAGGCCAAGTGCTGTCCAGAAGTCTGTGTCTCCTTCTTCCAGAACATAAATGTGTACTTAGGGCAGGAGGAGGGGGTGGGAAGGAGAAGACAGGAGCAGAGACAGGAAGGAGGTCCATAGTGCAGAACAGCAGAACAGTGGCAGGATACAGCCTCTCAGTAGGAGATGGACAGGTGACCCCAACCTCAGGGTCTCTCTTTAATCCTCAGTGGTGTGCACATGATGGTGGCCACCCCTGGGCGCCTCATGGATTTGCTACAAAAGAAGATGGTCAGCCTCGACATCTGCCGCTACCTGGCCTTGGATGAGGCTGACCGCATGATCGATATGGGCTTTGAGGGCGACATCCGTACCATCTTCTCCTACTTTAAGGTGCCCACCCTCTGCTATTTTCCTCCCCATGCATACCATATTCATTATGGAGGGCTGTGGGCCCCTTGCTGTCTCACCCTCTGCTCCCACTTCTGGTGGGCAGCAACCCAGCCGCTCAGTGTTTCCATCTCCTACCTTTGCCCCAGCCCCACCCAGCCCTTCATGCCCGGGGCCCCAGCTCCTGTCCTTTCTCAGGGCCAGCGGCAGACTCTGCTCTTCAGTGCTACCATGCCTAAGAAGATTCAGAACTTTGCCAAGAGTGCCCTGGTAAAGCCTGTCACTATCAACGTGGGACGTGCTGGAGCTGCCAGCCTGGATGTCATACAGGTAAGTCAGCACTCTCTCGCCTGTCAGGCTCCCTCAAAGCTGATTGGAACAAGGGCTTCACCCTGTGGGCCTTGGGGATTTTACTGAAACCTTCTGGCCTTCAGCCAGGGCCATTCTTAGTGTGTCCAGCCCTTGGTAGCAAGAGGTTCCTGGTCAACTTCTGGCCAAGATTAGTGGCTCATTCTCTTTAACAGGGCCATGGCTTGTGAGCCTAGCCTTGGGATCACTTGACCTGGCCCCTTTGGTGGCAGGAGGTGGAATATGTGAAGGAGGAAGCTAAGATGGTGTACCTGCTCGAGTGCCTGCAGAAGACTCCTCCACCTGTGAGTGCAGCCAGTTCAGGCTGGGGCTGTGGTCCCAGGGCAGGAGAGAGGGCGGTAGGGACAGTGCAGTGCATGTCGCCGAGGGGAGACCCTGTGATGAGTCAGCCTTCCTGGACAGGTGCTTATCTTTGCGGAGAAGAAGGCAGACGTCGATGCCATCCACGAGTACCTGCTGCTCAAGGGTGTCGAGGCTGTGGCCATCCATGGGGGCAAAGGTCAGGGCACTACTGCATTGACATGGACCCTTTGGCCATGGCGGCCTCCCACCTAATCCCCCTTCTTGCCTGCCCAACCTTCCTCTAATCCTGAAATTCCTGCTATAACTATAATATCTCCTACCTGACCCTTTGTAGACCAGGAGGAACGGACCAAGGCCATTGAAGCATTTCGAGAGGGCAAGAAAGATGTCCTAGTGGCCACAGACGTTGCCTCTAAGGGCCTGGACTTTCCTGCCATCCAGCATGTCATCAATTACGACATGCCAGAGGAAATTGAGAATTACGGTAGGGAACTTGGGAGACTTAGGGTGTGGGCTAGAAAAAGAGGGGTCAAGCTCGGTCCCCAGTCCCTGGGCAGTGGACCAGAGGCCGTATCCCTCCCTGCAGTGCACCGGATCGGTCGTACTGGACGCTCAGGAAACACTGGCATTGCTACCACCTTCATCAACAAGGCTTGTGGTGAGTCTTTCACCAGAGCCACGTCAGTTGTTCCCCAGCTCCCCCACCTGCCACCACCAGGCCCCAACACAGGGCCCAGAATAGGGCTTGATGGTTTCCTGAGTCCCCTGCCACCTCCCCCTTCCAGATGAGTCCGTGCTGATGGACCTCAAGGCCCTACTATTAGAAGCTAAACAGAAGGTGCCACCAGTGCTGCAAGTACTGCACTGCGGGGACGAGTCCATGCTGGATATCGGAGGTCAGTGTCAAGCAGGAGGCAGAAGGCCTCCCTGGTGGTGGGCTTAGGTCGGGGGCATCCTTGAAGACAGAGTAGGGGAACACCACAAATCAAGTTCATACTAGACAGTGGGGTACTTGGGGGGACCTTTCTGGGGGGCCTGCATTCTGGAGGCTGGATCCTGGATCTGTGACCTTCCTGACCCTCCCCTCACCCTCCAGGAGAGCGTGGCTGTGCCTTCTGCGGGGGCCTTGGCCATCGGATCACTGACTGTCCCAAACTGGAGGCCATGCAGACCAAGCAGGTCAGCAACATCGGCCGCAAGGACTACCTGGCCCACAGCTCTATGGACTTCTGAGCCATCTGTTTTCCCCACTTCCCTCCAAGAGGCCTCAGTGCTGGGACTTCTTCCACAGACCAGCCCCAGGACAAGAAGCCAGCATTCTCAGCCCAGCTGGCCTGGGCTGCTCACCGTGTTCCTCAGATTACTATTTTTGTGTATCCTCCCCCTTCCAACCCCCAGCTGCCATTAAAACGCTCAGCCTCAGCTCTGCTTCTGGGTCTCACTCATCTGCCCCCGGCTCCTGTACAGACCGCACCCCTTCCCCCCTCCAACACCTTCTGAGCCAAGGTGTCGGCATGTCCCACTGCTGCCGCCAGCACCCAGACTACTGGCACTTGGCCATAAAGGAGCCACCTAGCCAATGCCCCACTCAGGCCTCAGGGCGTTCCTCAGGGCACTCTGGAATTTATGGCTCAAGTAGGACCCACAGCAGGGTGCCAAGGGGAAATGGTTGTCTCTCACCTCCTGACCAGCTGTCATAACCCCAAACTTTGCTCTTTCTGATGCTTGTGTGGTGCTCAGAGAGCTTTTCCGCGAGTCTCTTGGGAGGCTTTCCTGGCTCAAGCCCCTGCTGGCTGCCTTCCTGCACAGCCTTCCACTTGGAAACGCTTAGGTTTATTCACTGAGGAGGTGGCAGATGTGACAGGAATCCCATTCTGGCCACATACCCACTGACCTACTGTGTTCTATTTTTTTTGCTGGGTGATAAAGACTCAGACAAGCCAGGCAGAGACCTGCCTAGGAAGCCCACAGGTAAGTGAGCAAACATGGACAACCTTTGTAAGACTGTCCTCAGGTCTGTCAAGACTTAAGTGTCTGAGAAACAAGCAGAAGCACACACAGCAGTGGCCATGTGTCACACAGTTCTTCTGTGCTAGGACTTTCACATGTAAGGCCACATGCTTATCCAGCAGGACAGCAGTTGCTCAAGTGATGTTTGTCACTTGGTGTGTGACCTTAAGCAAGTTACTTAACTTTTCTGAGTCTTGATTTCCTCATTGTTGAAACGGCAGTGAAAACGCAGAGGACATGGTTTCTGAGACCTGGAACTGTATGGGGCTCAGGAGCCACAGAGCCAAGTGCCAGCAGGCCTTTAGAAGGTACTTCCTGGTGCGGGGATGGTGTACATGCCTGTAATCCCAGCACTCAGGAGAGAAGCAAAAGGATCGCTGCAAGTTTGAGGCCAACCTGAGTACAGAGTTCAAGGCCAGCCTGAACTGCAGAGCAAAACCGTGAATCAAAAACCAAAAACAAAAAAGACATTTCCTGACCAAATATGCAAATCTAAAACAGCATTCATTAGCCTGGTTACATGTTCTTCCCTAAAGGGAGCAATGAACTGATAAGACTGTTCCCAGAATTCAGATATTCAGACTCAGATACTGCCAAGATACCAACCTCCAGCAAGGCCAGGTTAAAAAAAAGATAGTTGACAGGAAGCAGCTATAAGAGAGCATGTGACCTCTCTGGGGAGCCCCCTGGGGACCTGCCACCCATGCTCATGTGACCAGAGCCATTCAAGGTTATGGATCTTCAGTGGACTGGCCGCTTGGCTTGAGGCGTGTCGTGAAGGCCACTGTGCTCTCAGGAATAGTGGTTGCTCAGGGACAGCCTCCAGGAGGAAGAGGTACCCATGTCCCCCAGCAACACAGTGGTAAGGGGTGTGCTCGAGGGGCTGGACTGTGCGGAATGAGGCTCAGGGAGGTGGAGGCCAGAACTCGCGCCCCTGAGTGCTGAGTTCAGGAGCACAGATTAGATCCGAGGAAGGAGAGAAGCAGGGTTGGTTTGGGGTTAGCAGAGAAAGCCAGGTCAGCCCAGGTGGAGCAGGAGCTGCAAAAAAGGAAAAGCAAGTGAATGTTAGAAACACTTTGGGTGGAAGCAGAGATTGAGCAGACACTCAGGCAGGGCTAGGGACAAACAAGAACTGGATGAGAGCCAGGAGCTGGCCTGTCTAAAGGGCCCGCGGGAGGCAGCTGGCTACTAGGTACCAGGTCCCAGGGTGCACGGCTCCTGGGGTGGGGGAAGGGTCACAGTTCATGATTCAAGGCAGCCAGCCTGTGGTCAGATGCTCATACCCAGCTGACCCAGGTGCCCGGACAAGGATCACTTGCCCTCAGGAGGCCTGAGGCTCCTGCCAAGCAGGTATAGGCAACCTGGGCCAACCAGAATCCCTGGGAAGAATGTGCTACCCCTCCCATCCCGTAACTGAAGACTGGGCTCCCCTCCCCCTGGCCCAGCAGCTGCGTCTCTGGACAGAGGGAGGGGGAAGTGGTCAGAAGAGGAAGTGTGAGAAGTTCCCATCCAGCCTGTCACCAGTCTTCTCAGTCTTCTCGACAGTGGGCCTCTGGCTGGCCGTGGCCATGGAGCCTGCAGAGACACCCGTCAAGGATGGCATCCTCTACCAGCAACACGTCAAGTTTGGCAAGGTGGGGACCCCTGGCTGTCAGGCAGCCGTCCTAGCCCCAGAAAGCACCTAGACCTGGTAGAACTGGGAAGGGAGTCTGGGATGGGTACTGGAACCCAGGAATTTGTGAACAAACAGAATCTAGTTCTTGTTTGAAAGGGTTGGGGCTGAACAGGCCTTAGTAAGAAAGGCTGCCTCATTTAAAGAGGAAGGTGAAATAAGGGGAGGGTCTGAGATCAAAACCCCCAGGCGGGTCAGAGCTGAACAGCCTTAGATGGGTTCTAACAGTGGCACTGAGGCCCCCAAGCAAGGGCCAGGGGCTGAGCTGGGAGAGCCACACCCTTCAGACAAGGGAGAAGCCGGGAGATCACCTCTCTGGTGGCAGGCCCTGCACCCCATAACTCAGCCTCAGCTGCTACCCAGGCAGATCAACGGTCTGTTTCCTTTATTTAAATCTATTTGCATGTTTCCTTCCTTGCCAAAATAGGCTGTGGCCTCCTTCCCACCCAGTCATGGCCCAAATGTGTTTCTTGAGGGGTAGAATTAAGAACCAGCATAATAGCAACATCAAGTGATCTGCGCCAACCGTTAGCCACTTCATAGATGGAATCCAGTGGAAGCCCTGCCTTCGTGTTCTGACCTCATGAGAGCCGAGGACACTGGTGCTATGGAGGGCAGTTAGGAAATGGGGGAAAGAGAAATGGTAAATGGAATTTGAACCCCAGGCTAACCAACTCCAACCACAGACTCCAAAGCGTTCCCTGGCACAGCCTCCTTCCCTGGAACCCTGAGGACATGGGGAGGCAAAGGCCCATCTAGGCGGTGAAGAAAAGTTGTTAAGCTTGTGCCAAGCTGGGTGGCAGGCACATCTGCCACTCAAGGGTCTTCTCTCCTACCCTCTTCTTTGCAGAAGTCCTGGCGGAAGGTATGGGCTCTGCTGTACGCAGGAGGCCCATCAGGGGTGGCCCGGTTGGAAAGCTGGGATGCCCGGGATGGAGGCCCGGGGCCAGCAGGTGACCGAGCAGCAGGGCCAGCCCGGCGAGGGGAGCGGCGGGTTATCCGCCTAGCCGATTGTGTGTCTGTGGTGCCGGCTGATGGTGAGAGCTGCCCCCGGGACACCGGTGCCTTCCTGCTCACCACCACCGAGCGTACCCACCTGCTGGCTGCACAGCACCGCCAGTCCTGGATGGACCCCATCTGCCAACTGGCCTTCCCGGTGAGTGCAGGGCAGGAGGAAGCACCGCAGCCCACACTTGTTCATCTCCTTGCTCACTTATATCCTGTCTCTGTGTGAGTATTACCACACACCTGCAAGACTGGGAAATGGCCTAGAAACCGACAGAGCGGGTCTCAGATGGGCACGCATGCTACAGTGAAAGTGAAATGGAGGGACGTGAGGAGAAGGGCCAAGGAAAGTCTTTCTGACAGGACAGTGGGCCTGAGTCTTGAATGACATGTAAGAGCCCACAACCTGGGCGGGGCAGCACACACCTGCAATCCCAGCACTTAGACGGGCTAAGGTAGGAAGATCTCAAGTTTGAGTCCAGCCTGGATGATTGAGTGACTTATCAAGGAAGACCCTATGTCACAAAAAAAAGAAAACTGAAGAAGTTTGGCTAGGGTTGTAGCTCAGTGCAAACAAAGGCCTTAGGTAGTTCCTAGTACTGGGTGGGGAGGGAGGCCCACCAGGCAAAGGTCTGAGGAAAGTACATCTAAGACAGTAAGGTCGGAGAATTCTAAACAGAGAGGGAAGCATGAGCAAAGGCCCTGTGGTAGGAGAAAGTATGGTGTGTTCAAGGGAAAGAAAGAAGGCTGGCATAATCAAGGGAAAAGGAGCCTCAAGAAAAATACATGAGGCAGTGAAGCTGGAGAGTTCAGTGAGAGCCAAATGAAACTGACTTGGGCCACATGTGGAGTTTGGGATTTTATCTGAGTCAGAGGAAACTTCAGAAAGTTTAAACTGGTGGTTGTAAAGGCCACATGGTCTGTGATAGACCAAAACGAAACAAGTCTGGTGGTTCCTCAAACAGTTAATCATAGAGTTACCATATGACCCAGCAACTTAACTGCTCAGTCTATACCCAAGAGAATTCAAACAGGTGTCCACACAAAACTTGATGTGAATGTTTATGGCAGCAGGATTCACAGTTGCCCAGATGGCAATCCCCTGATGATCTGACAGAATATTATGCAACCATCAGAAACGAAGTATAACATGGAAAGCCAGGCATTTAGCTCAGTGGCATAAGCACCTGCTTGGCAAGTACAAGGTATTGAGTTCGATCCCCAGTACCAAAAAAAAACCCAAATACCACCTGGATAGACCACTTGCTGTTGTTATTGTTGTTGAGACATGATCTTACTAAAGCAGTTACCCGATTGGGCTCAAGTTTGCAGTCCTCCTGCTTCAGCCTCCCAGAGAGCTGGGATTATAGGTATACAGCTCCAACCCTAGTACAAACTTTCAATGCATTTTGTTGTGAAAAGCCAGACATGAAAGCCCACCTAATATGATTCCACTTATAGGGAATGTCCAGAATAGGCAAACTAGAGAGATAGAAAGTAGATTATTTTCCAGAAGCTTCAAGGGGTGTAGTGGGGAATGACTTCTCATGGGTACGAAGTTTGCACTCGGGTGATGAAGAAGTTCCAGAACCAGGTTGTGATGATGGCTGCACCACCAGGCAACCACATGAGAAACTGCTGAGTTATGTGCTTTAAAATAGCTGGGTTTCAGCTGGGCATGTGGCACACACCCATAACCCCAGCATTTGGGAGACTGAGTTTGAGGCCAACCTTGGCTACACAGTGAGTTCAGGGCCAGGGCAAATTATATAGCAAGACCCTGTCTCAAAAAAACAAAACAAAAAGACAGGATTTGGTGATTCATGCTTCTAATCCCAGCAATTCAGGAGCCTGAGGCCGAAGGATCATGAACTTGAGTCTCTCCTAGGCAACTTAGTGAGACCCTGTCTTGTGTAGAGTGCTCCCCTCGCATGCACAAGGCCCTGTGTTCAATCCCCAGTACCACAAACAAACAAAAGTGATAAATTTTATGTTTCTGTATATTATATCACATTTTAAACATTTTGAATGAAAAGAAAATGAACAAGATCAAAGAGAAAATGGGAGGTGAGTTCCACTGTGTGCAGCCATGCTCCCCGGGCCAATGGTCATGGGAGAGGTGCTTAGAGTGAGAAACTACCTAAGGACGCTTGCTAAATGTCTAGATGTGGGAGGAGGGGCAGGGAAGGTCAAGGGTGACTCACAAGTGGGACGATGGAAAGAAGCCTGGACATTGCTCTCTGGCCAGTTCATGGCTGTGTGCGGCCCCTGAGGCCCCCTCCTCTTCCCTGTGCCAAGCTGTCAGAGAATCACACAACTCAGCCCAGTCCCCAGCCCAGGGAGCGCCCAATGGGACTCACTCCCATCGTGAAGGTGGGGAGATCGCCTCCCACAGGCGGCTGGGGTCATACACATGTCAGGGGCAGAGCTGGACCAGCACTGGGTCCCTCAGTGCCCTCTTGCCATGCAGTCCTGAGTTGTTGACCGCGTGGGAGGTAGCGGGAGATGAGCCGGTGGGCCCTAATCTTTAACTTGAGCCCCATCTGCAGGGCACAGGGGATTGCTCCTCCGGACCAAGAGAGGCTGAGTGTCCCAAGAGGGGGCTTGTCCCCATGGAGGAGAACTCCATCTACTCCTCCTGGCGGGAAGGTGAGTGTGTGGGAGGCCAGGGAAGAGCCTCATCCTACTACCCCAGCCTGCCATGCCAGCCCTGGGAGCCTGATGCCTCCCTGCTTGCCGGCAGTGAGTGAGTTTCCCGTGGTGGTGCAGAGGACTGAGGCTGCCACCCGATGCCAGCTGAAGGGGCCCTACCTCCTGGTGCTGGGCCAGGACACCATCCAGCTGAGGGAGACTTCCAGCCCCCAGGCCCTCTACAGATGGCCCTACCACTTCCTGCGGAAGTTTGGCTCTGACAAGGTGAGGTGGACGTGGCTGCCTGCGGAAAGGGCCCTGGGAGGCAGGCAGTGTGCTAGCCCTCCGACACTGATTCCCCACCTGTGTCACCCATGTCCAGGGCGTGTTCTCCTTCGAGGCTGGCCGCCGCTGTGACTCCGGTGAGGGCCTCTTCGCCTTTAGCAGCTCACGTGCCCCTGACATCTGTGGCATAGTGGCTGCCGCCATTGCCCGCCAGCGGGAACGGCTACCCGAGCCGGCAGCTCCGAAACCTTGCCCCCTGCCTCGGGCCACTTCCATGCCTTCCCTGGAGCCCCCTGGAGAGCTTCGGGAGGTGCCTCCAGTGCCTGGGGTTCCCGCTTTCAGGAGTGCATATGTCACCGAGCCAGGGCCCCAGAGCCTGCCACTCCTTCTGGACCCCACACCAGAAGAACCAGCTTCTGAGCTCTATGCCTCAGTGCGCAAGCGGGCCAGTGGGCCCCCAGCTGGCGCTGAGCACCTCTACGAGAACCTGTGCATGCTGGAGTCCAGCCCAGGGCTGCCCAACGGGAGTTCCAAGGCCCAGGAAGGCCCTTCTGGTGACCGCAGTCCATTGGTCAGCCCCGTCTACCACAGCAGTGAGGACCTGAACTGGCCTGTCCCAGCTCACAACAGCAGCCTGGAGGCCCAGTACCGGCGGCTGCTAGAACAGGAGCTGGATGAGGCAGGCAGCGCTAGCCGCTCAGGCCCACAGGCGGGCTTCAAGGCCAAGCTCGTCACACTGCTGAGTCGTGAGCGGAAGAAGGCTTCTGCTCCTGGCGACCGGCCCTAAAACCCTGTGCAGTGGCTGCAGGAGGACAGAGGTACTCTCCCTACCATAGCGGGAAAGGCACCTGAAAACACACTCCCAGTTCTCTCCTGCCTTCAGGGGCAAAGCAAGCAGTCTGGGAGGACCCATACCTGCCTACCCTGCCTACCCTCCAGTGTACAGTGTACAGATCTGCCAATAATAAAGCCTTCAGCCCCCTCTGAGTTCTGCCTGTGCTCCAAAATCCACATTCCCTCTATCAGCTCCTAAGACTCACTTGAGCAGACAGATGAGATGCAGATAAGTTTGCTTTGTGTGGCTCTGGGCAGCAGGGATGACACAAATAGGCAGAGGAAGACAAGCAGCTTATTGCTGGGAGAAGCACCCTCTGCACTGAGTTAAAGGCAGGGAGGAACCCAGCAAGCACGCAGTGAGCTCAGGCTGATGATATGCACATGGAGCCCAGAAGATAATGATGGTGTGGTGCCAGAGGTGAACTCCATCTCATCTTTAGGGGAGAGAGATGCTCAAGAGTTGGGAAGGAGAATTGGAGACTGAACTTGAGAAAGTAAAACTAGAGACCAAATTGGATGTGGAGGCACACACTGTAATCACAGCACTGGGGGAGGCTGAGGCAGGAGGATCTCAAATTCATGTCACTTGGGCAATTTAGGGAGACCATGTCTCAAAACCTAAAAAACAAAATCTTTAACAAAGGGCTGGGAGCTGGATGTGGTGGGGAGGCTGTTGCAGGAGAACAACCACAAATTCAAGGCCAGCCTGGGCTACATAGTGAGTTCACAATCAGCCAGAATCTTGAGAGTGGTGATGCACATCTGTAATTCCAGCACTCAGGTGGCAGAGGCAGGAGGATTGCCACAAGTTTGAGGCCAGCCTGAACTACATAGTGAGTTCAAGGGCAGCCCCTGAAACTGCATTGCAAGACCCTGTCTCAAAAAAATTTTAGAAAACAGACCAGGCTAACTGATATAACAAGACTGTGTCTCTAAATGAATAAACAAATAAATAAGGCTGGGGATATAGCTCAATTGTAGAGTACCCCTGGGTTTTGAAACACCCAAGCTAGGAGGGGTAATGGGGGCCCCTCGGGGAGGGGTGTGGAGAAGGAGGTAAAAAGAATTTCAGTCACCAAACAATTTACAGATGCTTCTTGGGAACCCTAGGCCTCAGTTTCTCAACTGCAAAGATAAACACCAAATTACACCAGCCTAGGAGTATAACTCAGTGGAGAGCACATGCCTAGCGTGCACAAGACTAAGTTTGATGCCTAGAGTAGAGGACCACCTGGATGGCTCTCCTTGAAAGAAGACCAGTTATCTCCTTTGGCTAAACCTGGCCTTGTTTCCGTATGCTGATGTGTACAGAGGTAACCAGGACTTATCCTTTCAATTGGCTTTAAGCAATGCAAATCAGTCTAGCCCAGGTGCTGATGTGTAGTCTTTGAAGCAAGGGGACAGTGGTTTCCTCACCCCACATATGAGCCAAGAGGGATGGAGAACCAAGCTCCATGCTGTTGGCTGGGATCAAGCCTCGAGATAAAAGGGTACGACTTCCCAGGGTATAAAGGATTATACATCAGAGCTGAAGCACAGACCCCAAAACATTAGATCCTGCCTCCAGTGGTGTTATGTGGAGTACTCTTTCCACATATCCTTTCCTGCATACTGCAGAGGTGATTGCAGGCCTCCTACCTGGCCCAGCTTACATACTTCCTGCCATTCTCACAGTCACTCTTCCTGCAGCCACTCCCTTCTTCACAAATAAACAAAACCCTGCATTCAGCCCTGGGTCGAGGTCTTTGTTCCAGTTAACCATCATTCTAGCTGGATTTAGGGCCCCATTGTTTCCCTACAATTATAAATATGTCTTAGTGTCTTTATTCTTGCCATAGGTTGCACTGGAATTAACTTATTGGAACTCCAATAACTTTTCCACGGATTATAAATATAAGCTTCCAGACCACGCAGAGGACTGGGAAGGGCCTCTATAGCCTAGCACTGAAAACCCAACTCAAATTACATATTAGGTCTATTCCTTCGTTAGAGTCTTATTGGTACCTGTCCCATGGCAGGCATCCGAGGACACAGCTAGATTCAAGACAGCCTCCGCCTTGTTCTCAAGGAGCAGACCTTCCAGAGAGATAATCAGTTACTTGAAGATTTTATTGCCTGCTTTCACCTCTTCTCTGCTGCTCTTGCCACCATCCTCGGCCCTCCGTGCCAACAATGGGATCACGGCTCCCCAAACCCAGCTTCTTGGTCATTGGAACTCAGTTGTAACTCACTGCCACACCCACAGCCTATCCTGAACCTCATCTTCATGACAGTGACGCACAGATTTTATTCTCCATGTCCTCTCCTGACCACTTCCTCTCCTCCCAGCTCACTTCCTCCGGGATAGCCGGGACTTCCTCTCCAGCCTCCTCAGCCTACAGTGATCTTTTCCTCATTGTCTACCTTTCCTCCTTGTCCAATTTTGGTTTTGTGCTCCATTCACAAAGTTGCCCTTCAATCTCCTGTCTCTTTTCATTTTATTTGACTGGCAAAGCCCTGGTCCCCAGGTGAACCCAGCTCTCCTCCATGCCTGCTTGTGAGGTCTGCCCACAGCCAGAGGAGTTCACATGCGGAGGCCGCCTGTGTCCTCTTGTACAACAGAACCACAAATCTTGATGGGCAGGGTCTCTACACTGCCCACAGGTCCTATGACCACAGAGACAGGTTTTCTCTCCCAAGACCTTCAAACCCTCTCCTCTCTGTCGCCACCCACCCTCACCTATTATTGAAGTATCCAAAAAGCAATCAACAGAAATAAACTCCCCCCCCCTTGAATCTGCCACCAGTACCTACAAAGGTGCCAGAATTTGCACCTGTCTTGTGGAAGAAGTGTCTGTCCCCAATACATACTCTGGTCCCGCTCCTCGCACTCCTCAAAGCCTGGCCAACCCAGGTGTTCCCTTCCCCTTCTGGACCTATGCATGCTATCATCACCACCTTTCCAGCTACATAAAACATGCTCTATAATACCACATCTTAAAAGAAACCTGCCGGGCACGGTGCTATGTGCTTTCATTTCACTTCAGCCGCCTCCCTTCATCTGTTCTGATTCACAGTGAAACTTCTCAAGGGTTGTTGATTACTTTCATTTCCACTTTTTCACCTCCCATTTTCCCTTTAACTAACTCTAGGCCTCCCCTGTTCCCTACCACATTCCATTACATGGTTTTTACCACCAACTAACTTGCTTCACCAAGCAAAATCACCCTGGGTTCCCTAGGTTTCTCAGCAGCATTCCACACCCCTTGAGACAGCTGGTCTTGGCTGGATTTTAATCCTATCTTCCTATCACAGGATTCCTCCTTCCCAGCCTCTTTTTCTCTTTCTTTTCTTTCTTTTTTTTTTTTTTTTTCAGTCCATGGGGATTGAACCCAGGGCACATTCCAGGTAAGTGCTGTACCACTGAGGTACCTCATCCCTAAACCCCCAGCCTTTTGCTGTCTTCCCTGTTAGCATTTTTCTCCTTGTTCTAGTCTTAGATACAATGTAGCTCATACCTTGCTATACCTGGAACCACCCAGAAGCCCTCGAAACATACCCATGTCTAGACCCACACTCAGGGGCTCTGATTTCATTAGTCTGGCTGCATGGGAGTGGAGCATCAGTGTTTGATTTTTCCCTTTTTTTTGTACCAGGAATTGAACTCACCACCTTGAATTTGCCAGGCGGGTATTGTGCCACTGAGTTATAGCCCCAGCCCTGTTTTTCCTTTTCTGAGTGATTGTAGTGTGCATGCCAGGTGGAGAATCACCGAAAGCCAACCATGTATCCAGATTTCATAGGTCCTCTGACTGCTGCTAACTCCCAAAGGTGTATCTACAGTGCAGACCTCTTCCCTGAGCTTCAGATTTAACAATCCAGCTGAAGAGCTGGGTGTAGTACTGTACATGCCCATAATCCCAGTGCTTGGGAGGCTGAGGCAAGAGGATTGCCACAAGCTAGAGGCCAGGTTGGGCTACACATAGTGTTCAATGCCAATCTGAAGTATTTAGCAACACCCCTGTAAAAAAAAAAAAATCTGTGTTTTTAAAAGGCATCAGCAGGGCTGGGAGTGTAGTTCAGTGATAGAGCGCTTTCCAAGCATGAATGAGGCTCTGGGTTCAATCTCCAATACTACAAAAACCAAAAAGCATTTCTAAATGTTATGGGTAAAAGGAAATGATGGGAGGCAAATTCCAAGCTGGGTATATGCCACCACAGAGGACAAAACCCAAGGGGTTGCTGGAGCCATAGGGAGGCAGATTTTAGCAACGCTAATGAAATCACTTCCAGACAGTAACATTTTCCCAGTATTGATCAGGCAGCCATGGAATAAACTCAGGTCAAGAGGCTCCCATTCAGGGTGATGACTGTAGCAGGGACCTTCTTTTCCACACTGGCAAGTCCAAGCTTACATCCTATTTTTTATGGGGTAGCAGTGTGGGTTTTTTTGAGACAGAATCTTGCTATGAAGTCCAGGCTGGCCGTGAACTCACAATGCAGGCCACACTGGCTTTTAACTCAAGGTGATCCTCCTGTCTCAACCTCCCAAATACTTGGATTACATGCGCCACCAGGATGTGCTGAAGATTATTCACAGAGCCAGAGTCATGACCCGAACTAAGATCCAGGCTGGAATCTTCTCCTTCACCCCCAATCTTTGTTCCATAGTTTCAATAAAATGCTTTATTCTGTAGTTATTTCTGTAATGTTCCAACCAGATTGTGAGAGAAAGGAGTCCTGGAAACCTTCAGGACCTTAGAAACCTCCCTCTGGAGTTGAAGGAGTCCTGACCACCAGGGGGCACTGTGGCCTAGTCCATGTCCTGTTCCACTCAATGCTTGCCGGTGCCAGGAGGATCCCAGGCTCCACCCAGGCCTAAGGCCTGAGCCTTGCAGTGGCCCAAGACAGGGACCTCAGGGTCCTCTCTGCTGGAAGACTGCCAAGACATCCCCAGGCACAACTTCTTCTTTTGTTTACTTGCTGTTTCACTTTTGTAATCCTTCCTTCCTTCTTTCATTTGTTCATCCATCTACAATGTTAGGAAACACCGGTACACCTGAAAAACAAGCATCTGAATGCAGAGGAATGACTCTTTTCTGTTCTGTTCTGTTCTTTTCTACTGAGTATGACTGAATCCAAGGCCTGCAAATTATATGCCTGGCCATTTT